GGATCTGTAACACTTCAGGTAAATTCACACACAGCATGGGCAAGCAGCTGATGCCCAGTCTCCAATGGTGTAACCACTGAACTTCTCGTACTTTTGTCATTTGCATTTACACAGCACCACAAATGCACAGAACCAGGGTCCTTTGCCTATAGGAAAGGCTGCTTCCTTCCCCGTAGAAGAATGCAGCCTACGTACTATCCTCAACATAAATGCTTTGTTGACTCGGGCTGCAGACATCTATTACCATTCTTGTTTGCCTTGTGATTTGGATATTGGAGAGTGTTCAGGGAGCGCTAGCGCTGTCATCTGGGATGCTTTTGTTTTAAAAGGGCATTTGTATCTGGAATAGGGTTTCTGGTAGGATGAACGACTGGAGCAGAACCATATGCTTACAACGAGCAACAAAACATCCCTTGCGGAACTCTCCCTCCCGTTTATTCTCCCATCCCCTCCTCTCAGCGTGGCCTGCCTCTGATTATCTCGTTTCCAAGTGGGGGATAGCGCCTGCCGCAGCTGCTTTCACCCCTTATTTCCACCGAACAGCAAAGGAAATCCAGCCCTTCCCTTCTATTATATAGCCAAGGAGGACAGGGTGTGTGCATTTGTGCAAAAACCAACACCGCTCCAAACAATGAACCCCTTTTGCAACCGACCCAGCTCCATAGTTTTGTGTGTGAGTGTGCCTTGAGAGATTCAGCTGCCATACTTCGAGGCCTATTTGGTAGATCTTGTGCTAATTCCCCATGATGAAAAGCTGCCCGCCTCCTGGGAACTACCTACAGCCTTCAAAGCCAGCCAGGTCTGGCCGTTTTATCATGCACACCAACCGAAGACATAATCAATTCCCCAGTTGGCACTTTGCACTGAATACCCACTTTTTCAGCTTGATAGCAGGACTAAATTAGTTATTTAGCAACTAGACCCCTAATTTAAAGTGAGCAAGTGGCTTGACAAGCCTCATTGTTCAAGGCCTCTGCCTCCCCCACGCCTCCACCCCTTTGCTTTCCAAGAAGAGGCCCCGCAAATCCTGGGGAAGTGATAAATAGACAATTAGAAAATAGATATATTTTGTTAGATCTACAAAGCTCCCCAGTGCTGTCAGATGTACAATAAAAAGGACTCTGCTAAATTGGTGGGCAATGAACACCATCTGTACCACCATCACTCCTACAGACACAAAGCCATATGCGGCCATTTACGGGACATCCCTGAGAATAGATTGGACCAATAAGACCAGAGGGAACGGAAAATACTTGACAAAGTTGGCTGCTCTTCATTTAACAAGAATAAAATATCTAATGGAGTGTAATGGAGAGCATCAATCACCTCTGGGTAAACCTCAGTTTTAATACTTTGCTTTTAGCTGTTTGCTTAAAAAAAAAAAAAAAAAGTTTTCCCTAGAATAAGCCAGGAATTAATATCTCCACTGGGTGGTAAGATGGTGTTCTTTAGCGCTAGTAAATGATGTGCAGCAGCCCATAGAAGTGATCCAAAACAAAATCTGATTTGTAAGAACAAAAAAGCAGGTAGAGCCCAAAGCATTTGTAAAAACGTGGTTACCATTTGTAAGTTGCTCTTCCCTGCTAAGTCAGAGTTGTTTTAATTGTTATTGGGGAGTGCAAACAGAATGGGCCCTCACAAACATAATATTTGTTAAGTTGTGGGTGAACATATCAGACAACACAGCAATTCTTCAAATAGCTCTTTTTTATTCACAGGCCAGAACAGAACAGAACTGAAGGGTTCAGCCAGCCTGCTTATATAGAGCTCCACTACAGCGCAACAGTAACCACTTTCTGTAACTATCCAATCACTGAACGTCACTTTCAATCCCCTATTTGCATATGTAGACCTGAGTGAAAACTATCTACAGTATCCCCCTGCTGGCCCAGGGTGAGAACTTCAGTACATAGCAGTATTGATATTATTCCAGCTTAATTTCCGTGGCTTCTGTCAGAGAATGCTGGGATTTGTAGTTATGGAGAATTCTCTATTAAGAGACTCCAGCCTTCATTGCATAAATAAAGTTCCCATAAATCTCTGGGGAGACAAAATTAGTAGGGAATTGCTGTCTGGCATTGGCAGGCCAAGGTTTGAGGGGCAGGAGCCCCGGCTGAGGGGAAAATGTAATGACCATATACCATCAGAGCTTCCCTAGTTTAATAACAGCCATTGAAGTGGCTCAAATAAGTGAGCCAGCCAATATAACTTGGGGCAGTGAAGAAAATCTGATCTGGAGAGAGAAGAGGAAGTAGTATTGAGATGGAGAGGTAACAGAGGATGCAGGTTAAATTTACCTGAAAGGGGTAACACAACTATATGCACAGTCTCATATTCTTTCGCTCTGTATTCAGCTTGAAATACTTACCTCTCTTTGATTCTATATTTTCCAGCTCAGTTCCTGTTGGCACTGGCTTGTCCTCTCTTATTTTGAACCCCTGCCCCAAGCATAGTTTCATTAGATGCCAGAAATATACACCCATCCTCCTTTCTGTTCTGAGCAGAGGAGATCACCTTTTAATATGCAATACTAAGCCATGGTTTGTTAAAAAAAAACTGTGTTAACCACTAATTGCCCCACAGATGCTCCAAAGTTTGGTTTGTTTTCCAGCTGGTCTTGCCTTCCAAGTTTTTATTTTGGTGTCTGGGATGGAAAGGGTACTTGCATTCAGATGCAATGCCAAACCGCAAACCAAACCAAGGTTTATAAGTCAGCAACAAACTATGGTTTCAGACTGATTTGTTGTCTGTGAATGAACCAGTTATATGTAAACACACCCCTGTAGCTCAACACTAAACCATAATTTAGTGTTACGCGTGAACCAGCCCATAGCAGAGGGCCAGAAAAGCCTGTTGTGGCTGATGCCAAAAGGATCTACCAGCTAAGGCAAAGGTGTTATTTAAAAAGAATTAGTTTTTCCAGGTCATATGGCTAGCATGACTAAGCCGCTTCTGGTGCAACGGAACACCAAAATCAGAGCAGCGCATGGAAATGCCATTTACCTTCCTGCCGGAGCGGTACCTATTTATCTACTTGAACTTTTTGGCGTGTTATTGAACTGCTAGGTTGGCAGGAGCTGGGACCAAGCAACGGGAGCTCACTCCGTCATGGGGATTCGAACCACCGACCTTCTGATCGGCAAGCCCAAGAGGCTCAGTGGTTTAGACATAGGATAATTCCATTTTCCAAAAGTTAGCAGATGAAACAGTATTTGGTGTTTTTTGTAAGAGCAACTTATATTGAGGGTTTTTAAAAAATACATTACTAAGATGGTTTATTATCATTCAGCTTTTAAAAAAGTGATGTGGAATGAAATACAGACTCCTGACCTGTTCCTTGGGTTAAATGTGATGTCTTTCCTTTAATTAAAGGATATGGCACAATGTATTTTCATGTTTTGTTTATTATATTATGGTGTTTGAGGGTTTGCTTGCTTAATTCCTGCTCCAGTATAGTTATTTATATGACTTAGACCAGCTTTACTGCATTCCCTGGAGTAGATTGTGTACTATGTGGAAGTAAATCCCATTGAACTTGGCAAGACTTATGTCTGAATAAACAGGTATTTTTAGTTTTACTAGACTAGAAAATAGTTACAGTTTTAATTTAAATTGAAATGGCTGTGTAATAGCTAGACAAATCATTCAGAAATCCCTAGAGCTCTTAATTATAATTCTCTACTGTCTTGATGCATAAATTTTCTTTCCAAGTGCTCATTTTGATAAAAAAAAATTGCTCACATATTCTTAAAACATGTGACAGTTCTTTAAAAAAATTACAACAGTTCAGAATTAAAGTTTACCTTTAAATATAAATGTTGGAAGTAGCAGCTTGGTGCAATAATTGAGGGTTGGTGGTGTAGAATGGATGCACTGGGTGTAAGACAATAGTGTTTTAGATCTTTTAAATGAATAAATAAATAAAAATCAAAAAATTAGGAAAAATGCTAGCGATGTTTGCTGTAGAACTGTAACTGGTAAGAACTAGTCATCTCTTTCCATTTCAATGGATGTCGCTGCTTTTAAAATACACCGTCAGCAAAAATCACATGATGTAGACTGCAGCGCTTTAGGCTGCAGGTGGTGGAAATTATGTTTGAATCGGCTACATATAAAAATCTCCTCACACATAATTAACTAGCAGGTCAAGGAGAGTGTTACAGCCTACCCTTTCTTCCCAACATGGTATTTTTTCTTTCAAGCAGTTGGTCCCTTTCCCGCCCCGACCTGGCCACAGTGATCCATGCGACGGTCATCTCCAGGCTTGACTACTGTAATTCGCTCTATGCAGGGCTGCCCTTGAAGCTGTCCCAGAAACTCCAGCGGGTGCAGAATGCAGCAGCGAGGTTCCTCACGGGGTCTCTGCCATGGGAGCATATTCACCCAGTGCTTTTCCAGCTGCACCAGCTCCCGGTGGAGTACAGGGTCAGATTTAAGGTGCTGGTTTTGACCTTCAAAGCCCTTCACGGCCTAGGACCCTCGTACCTACGGGACCGCCTCTCCCGGTCTGCCCCACGGAGAGCCTCAAGGTCCATAAATAACAACACCCTAGTGGTCCCGGGCCCTAAGGAAGTTAGATTAGCTTCAACCAGAGCCAGGGCCTTTTCAGCACTGGCTCCGGCTGGTGGAACGCTCTGTCTCATGAGACCAGGGCCCTGCAGGATCTGATTTCTTTCCGCAGGGCCTGTAAGACAGAGTTGTTCCGCCTGGCCTTTGGCTTGGAGCCAATTTGATTCCCTCCCTCCCTCCCTCTCTTTTTTCTTTTCCTTCTCCTCCTGCGATGAGGCTACATTTTAATATTTTAATGTTCCATTATTTTAATGTTGTATTTTATTTTTGTTTTTAAGTTGTAATCATTCATCTTGCTTTTATTATTGCTTGTAAGCCGCTCTGAGCCCGGCCTTGGCTGGGGAGGGCGGGGTATAAATAAAATTATATTATTATTATTATTACCCTTTCTTCCCAACATGGTATTTTTTCTTTCCACAGGAAGTCTGGTAGGTAGAAAGCGTTAAGGTATAGTTAAGCTTCTTCTGCCACCAGCTGAACAAGCTTTTGTCACCGAAAAAGCAGTTACACACCTTTTGCTAGAGCTGGCTTCAGTTCTGCTACCTTTTAAGGGATCAACAGGTTAAAGCTCTGGGCAGGAGCATCTACTGCCAAAAGTATTAATGGGAAAGGAAGCAAACTGCAGCCTTGTTATCTTTTTTTTGGTGCCTGCAATAATGGCTGTTGGCTTTCAGACATACGATCTGAACATCCCATACGGCATCCCGACTTGTTTGTTTCCGAAAACACCGCACACCATTTTCATAAATTATACATGTCAGCTCAATAATTCCCTCAGGTTAATATATTGACTTAATTAGGTAAAACAAAAGGTGGATAATTAGACTAACATCCTCAGCTTCCCATTGATTTCGGGGAAAAAATCTGTTTCGCAGTAGTTTTATTTATACTCCACATGTCAAGTTTTTCAAAATATACAATCTCTTCTGATGGTTAACACGAGCCTTCTCTCCTCCTCCCCCCTACTCCCCATAGCCTTTCAAAATGTCACTTTGCTTTGTTTGGCAGAAACTTCTAGAAGTCTGAGGGACAGTTCACGAAACTTTAACATGACACATTTACAGTGGTACCTCGGTTTTCGAACATAATCCGTTCCGGAAGACCGTTCGAGTTCCGAAACGTTTGAAAACTCAGTATGGAAGCCTTAATACAGGAGCTGTGTGGCATGTTCAACTTCTGAGGCGAGTTCGAAAACCAAAGCATTTACTTCCAGGTTTACAGTGGTGCCTCGCAAGACGAAATTAATCCGTTCCACGAGTCTCTTCGTCTTGCGGTTTTTTCGTCTTGCAAAGCACGGCTATTAGCGGCTTAGCGGCTATTAACGGCTTAGCGGCTATTAACAGCTTAGCGGCTTTAAGAAAAAGGAAACAAACTCGCAAGAACTCGCAAGACGTTTCGTCTTGCGAAGCAAGCCCATAGGGAAATTCGTCTTGCGGAACGACTCAAAAAACGGAAAACTCTTTCGTCTAGTGAGTTTTTCGTCTTGCGAGGCATTCGTCTTGCGGGGCACCACTGTACGGTGTTTGAAAACCGAAATGTTCGTCAACGGAGACGTTCAAATACTGAGGTACCACTGTATCTCAAAACGGCTGTTAGCAGCTCCCTGCAGGAACAGGCAAGCCACCTGCAGAAAGGAATGTTGGCTTGCAGTACTTCCATTGCTCCTGCTCCCCTTTGAACAAGACTGCAAAGGGAAGAAAATTCGGTACCAGTGTCCTGTGAAGACTTCTGCTTCCAGGAACTCTGAATCCAACCTCACAACAGGAAAACTATCAAAAGTAAAGCATGCTTTTAAAACATTGTACTGCTCAAAAGGTTTAGAAGAGGAAGGCCTTCTCCCTTTGGGAGAAAAAAACACACACACACACACACACACACACGATCAAATTAACCTCCTGGAGGAAGAAATTCCACAGCTAGAGTAGCAGAACAGAGAAAAGCCCAGGAAGTCGCCAATCAAGCTTCTGAAGATGACAGCCCAATGAGTGGGACTGCTCCCCCCCCCCGCAGTCTAAGAAAAAGAGTACATTCAAACGGAAGCAGATGTACAAAAGAAGCCTCTTGATCACCTTCTCAATTATCCCTTTGTTGCAGTAATTCGTTCTCTACCAGGAATATTAGGCACAAGAAATCGGCACCATAACTGAAAAAAGAGGAACCTATTTCACACATCAGAGCGTGTAAGATAACTTGAATCAATTATCCCCTGCTTGTTTTTAGTTTAAAAGAGGAAGAGGGAAGGGGAAGTAAAGAACCATAGAATATACTGTTTTCGAACACCATCAGGGGTTCAGAAAGGTTGCCTTCATTTGTTTCAGTTAAACTGAACAGTTGTGTGATGATCAGGTCCATCACATTGGGAAAACCATAATTCTTCACAGTGCAAGATCGTGTGTGGCTAAGTGGGGGTGGGGGGGAGAACCCTAATTGTGTAAATTATACAGACTAAAACAGCAAGAAAAAAAAATCAAGTTATACGATTTCAAGTTAACAGTATAATGATGCAAGATTCAACCAATTTTTTCTGCATTGGTCCAAGAAGTTGAATCCAGGATCCTGCTTCCAAAAGTGGCTAGGCAGAAGTGTGCAAAGAGCTTACAATTAAATGAATGCAGTAACCCTCTCCAGCTGCTTTGCCCAAATATCCTAGAATCCAGAGGTAGCTACACTGTGAACCTCATCAGTATGCGGATGATACCCAGCTCTACCTCTCTTTTAAATCAGAACCAGTGAAGGCGGTGAAGGTCCTGTGTGTGTGTCTGGAGGTGGTTGGAGGATGGATGGCGGCTAACAGATTGAGGTTGAATCTTGACAAGACAGAAGTACAGTTTTGGGGGGACAGGAGGCGGGCAGGTGTGGAGGATTCCCTGGTCCTGAATGGGGTAACTGTGCCTCTGAGGGACCAGGTGCGCAGCCTGGGAGTCATTTTGGACTCACAGCTGTCCATGGAGGCACAGGTCAAATCTGTGTCCAGGGCAGCTGTTTACCAGCTCCATCTGGTACGCAGGCTGAGACCCTACCTGCTCGTGGACTGTCTCGCCAGAGTGGTGCATGCTCTGGTTATCTACCGCTTGGACTACTGCAATGCGCTCTACGTGGGGCTACCTTTGAAGGTGACTCGGAAACTACAACTAATCCAGAACGCGGCAGCCAGACTGGTGACTGGGAGCGGCCGCCAAGACCATATAACACCGGTCTTGAAAGACCTACATTGGCTCCCAGTACGTTTCCGAGCACAATTCAAAGTGTTGGTGCTGACCTTTAAAGCCCTAAACGGCCTCGGTCCAGTATATCTGAAGGAGCGTCTCCACCCCCTTCGTTCTGCCCGGACACTGAGGTCCAGTTCCGAGGGCCTTCTGGCGGTTCCCTCACTGCGAGAGGCCAAGTTACAGGGAACCAGGCAGAGGGCCTTCTCGGTAGTGGCGCCCGCCCTGTGGAACGCCCTCCCATCAGATGTCAAAGCGATAAACAACTACCTGACATTCAGAAGACATCTGAAGGCAGCCCTGTTCAGGGAAGTTTTAATATGTGACATTTTAGTGTATTTTTCATCTTTGTTGGAAGCCGCCCAGAGTGGCTGGGGAAACCCAGCCAGATGGACGGGGTACAAATAATAAATTATTATTATTATCCAGATGTTGTTGAATACAACTCCCATTAGGCTCAGTTAGCATAGTCAATGGCCAAGGATGATGGGAGGTGCGATCCAGTATCTTGAGGGCCACAGGCTAATCCCCCTTGCAAAGCCTCAGAACACACGGGTCTGTTTAGCTACCATAGCCATTGATAGACCAATTCTCCATGCCTTTATCTAATCCTATTATTGAAGGTAGCAAAGGCCATAGAAAAGCTTCTTTGCCTTGCCTAATGGAGGAGTGTATTGTATCTTACTCGATCATATGAAACTGCTCCATCTAAACAGCATTTCCTGCCCAAGGCTCCTCCGTGAACCAGAAGATATTGCTTTATGACTATGAGACAGACATTCGGAAATGCAGGGAAGAGGGCAACTCGGCTGTATTGCTCATTGTATAGCAACGAGGTTCATGAATGAATGACAAGAATGTTATAAATTTATTAGAGATGTTGAACACAAAGCAAATTTAAACTTTGAAACATAGCTGTGGCCCTGTTTAGCCATTTCAGTAAATGCAGCTTGAATTTCTAATTCATTTTCTGTTAAGTGATAAAACAGAATTGGAACACTTTATTTACCTCTTTCCAACTGAGAGACAGCACGCTGGTCACAAAACTGTTTGAGAAGTTGCATTTGCCAAGTCGCAGTTCAATGTTCACAATCATTCGAAGAAACAATTAATGTACAAAAAGCATGTGATTAAAGAAAAAGAAACAAAGGCAGATAATGACATGGGAGGTCAATGTTTATTCACAAAGGAGGTCCTATTTAAAAACAAAAAAATACTAGTCCTTGGGTTAGATTAGGCAAGCTTACTAACAACTAAAATGAACATGGCTTAGGTTGGTTAAAACTGTCCATGTTCTCACCATGAACCAAGAGTTATAGCTTGCAGCTACATAGGATATCTTCCACTAGTCTTTTGTAGACCCAGGCGTCTCCCTTCAGCCGCTGCCTCCGAATGCCCACGCCTTCAGGTTTGCTTAGCTGGCAAACTTCCAGCTCAAACTGCATTGTCACTTTGCCAAAGTCTGACTGGGTCTGGCACTTCAGTTTATAGCTGTGTAAGACAAAGGAAAGGGGGAATTAGTTCAGGTACTTACAAGTCAGGGATTGCAGGGGAAATAATTCTGGTGACAAGAGCCAACTTTTCTGCACACGATCTACTGGGCAGCCGGTACATTCAGTCGGTAGAATAAAGTGGGAAAGGTTTTTCTAAGATGTGGAGATTAGAGCTGGGGCAATATTACAAGTAATTGTCGGAAACCGGTCTGATGGTCAAACCGCAATACCAGATTCAGACTTTTTCAGACCACCAGCACAGCCCACCTCATTCTAGTCTGCCTGCCTGCACTGTGCTGTCGGCAGCCAAGAAGCCGCAATGTATCGCCAACTAAAATTGCCTTGATCAGCTGAGAAGCGGGCAGTTTAAGGAAGCCTGCTTCTCATCTGATCAAGCCCCCTGCCTCTGGCTCCCGTGAGCAGGATGGTGTTGTCACAGCTTGTTTTAACTGCTCTGCTGAGGGGCGGGCAGGTGCGCAGCCAGCGGCACCTCAGCTGAACAATTTAAAGAAGCCCCCCTTTGGGGACTTGATCAGCTGAGGAGTGGGTGGGAGGCTGCCTGCCCCTCAGTTGATCAAACCCACATTTAGCTCCTGCTTGTGGGAGCCAAAGTGGTATGGGGGCTTGCAACTTCACACATCGTGATATATCAGTACATCGCAATATTTGTTGTTTAGTCGTGTCTGACTCTTTGTGACCCCATGGACCAGAGCACGCCAGGCACTCCTGTCTTCCACTGCCTCCCGCAGTTTGGTCAAACTCATGCTGGTAGCTTCGAGAACACTGTCGAACCATCTCGTCCCCTTCTCCTTGTGCCCTCCATCTTTCCCAACATCAGGGTCGTCTCCAGGGAGTCTTCTCTGCTCATGAGGTGGCCAGAGTATTGGAGCCTCAGCTTCAGGATCTGTCCTTCCAGTGAGAACTCAGGGCTGATTTCCTTCAGAATGGAGAGGTTTGATCTTCTTGCAGTCTATGGGACTCTCAAGAGTCTCCTCCAGTACCATAATTCAAAAGCATCAATTCTTCGGCAATCAGCCTTATGGTCCAGCTCTCAGTTCCATACATCACTACAGTGGTACCTCGGGTTAAGTACTTAATTCGTTCCGGAGGTCCGTACTTAACCTGAAACTGTTCTTAACCTGAAGCACCACTTTAGCTAATGGGGCCTCCCGCTGCTGCCGTGCCGCCAGAGCATGATTTCTGTTCTGGGTGAGCGGAGTCTGTAACCTGAAGCGTATGTAACCTGAAGTGTATGTAACTCGAGGTACCACTGTACTGGGAAAACCATAGCTTTAACTATACGGACCTTTGTTGGCAAGGTGATGTCTCTACTTTTTAAGATGCTGTCGCAATATTTAGCTGCTGATATATCACAATGTTGAAAAGCAGATATTGCCCAGCTCTAGTGGAGATACAGGTGGGGAGCTCTATGTACTGAATGCATCCACCCACCCTTTGAAAAGAAACCGCCCCTGACTTTCTAGCTCTTTATGCAGGAAAGCCCCCCCCCCACAAGGGGGCACTAACATGCCACCCGCCTGAAGGGGTACTGTGGGGCAGGGGGATAGGATTTTGACTTAGTTCTGCTGATTCTGTCGTCTGACCTGATGCTCAGTGTTTTATCAGGCAGCTCATAAGACAATCCAGTAGAGGAAGGTATTGATTTACAAGATGTGACATTGATTGTGGCCCTTTGAGTGTGACACATCTCCACTTGAGGTTATTAAGGCTGCTTACATTCGTTTGATCAGTAACTGACTCAGTTAATGATCAATCAAGATGGGGACCAGGCCTTTAAGAAAGGAAAAGAAAAATGGTGCTACGAGACAGAGGCACACATATTTTAAAAATTGACTGTGATGTGTCCTTTAGAAAGATATCAAGAAAATGTTCTTTCTGCCAAGTAGTTGTTTGCACTCATTAAATTGCAACTTGGTTTGGGGAGAAATAAACCATGAGTGCAGGTCTGGGTGACAAGCCAAACCATGGCTCGCTTCCCAGCAGCAGAAGCAGGGAAGAGCTAAGTACATGTAATTTCAGCAGGGTGCCAACTAACTGCTCGTTTACATTAAAGCATAGTTAAAATAAAACTATGGTTTAGTGCAACATGCAAACCAGGCCACAATTCTAATACAGAATGAGCAAGATAGCAGCTTGTTAGAGGATCGAGGAAAAATTATCTGATAAAGATACCAGACTGAAATAAGGAATGAATATTTACTTACCCCTTCTGTACAAAATCAACTTGTTTTTTGGGAAGGATTGCAATTATTTCCTTCAACAGCTCATCTGGATTTAATAGGTTTGTTGTGGTCACATTGTAATGAGCCTAGAGAACAACACATTTGGTGCACGTTTAGGACACAATTCTGCATTTCACGTTCAAACACCAGCTACATTATTTCAGAAAGAAATGAGAAGGAGAGGATGAGAAAGACGTTATGAGTCTTAACGGCCCATGGCTTTGACTTAATGGCAGAACATCTGCCTTGTACACAGAAGATCCGAGATTCAATCCATGTCCAGGCAGGGCTGGGAGAGATCACCATCTGAGATCCTGGAGAGTCGCTGCCAGTCAAAGCAGCCTATCCTGAGCTGCATAGATGGACCAATGGTCTGGCTTGGTATAAGGCCATTTCCTCTGCTTCCAAATGTTGTTCTTTGCTACATAAGTGCCATTAAAAGTACTGGAAGAATCATTCTTCCCAGCATGTTTAGTAGGCTTTAACTAGGCATAAGGCCTTAAGGTTCTCTTTTGTTTAAATTCAATGTTTCATGCCAGACTTTTATGCACAAAAGTCCGTAGACATTTGTTTGACATTCCCAACACCTGCAAGGAAGCCCCATCCAAATAATTTCTATGAAGCTGAGGCCTCGCTTTACTGAAATAAAATTTCTTACTGTTCTAGCAAATCATATTTGCTGCCACTTGCACCTTGAACTTTAAAAGTGAAAGAACTCAGAAGTTTTGATCCATGACATGAAATCCCCTGCAAGCATCACAGAACTGGCACCTACTTGCCTACTACTTGTTAAGCATGGCATTTGGGCCTTCGTCAGCTTTTTGTGTGGCCTGGATCAGACAGGCTACATGGCAAGAGTCATTTAGTAGAACAAGGGTATTCAGCTGTAGCTGAATCTCTGCAACCAAAATCCAAAAGTTGATAGTTGCTAAAGCTGACCATCATTTGGACTTAGATCTGCAAGTAACCTTCCAAATTTAGCCTCTTCAGCAACGAGAAAGCTTACTGGACTGTGAATTTAAGTGTAGCACAAAAACAGAAAGTTTTTCGTTAGTGCTGGGGGCGCACTTGAAAAGCTTGGAAGACAAGGCAACTCAGTCTAGGATGTCATGTGCAGATGGTGTTTAAGCATTACACAGTAGCTGCTCCAAGTCTGCAGAGATGGATACCACTAGTTTTTTCCCCCAGTTAGCTATTCCAGGATGAGACACCACTTTATTAGACTTTAAAAAACAACAACCACAATGTCTCCAGTACAGAGAGGGCTTGCTGCTTGGGGAATCATAGCCATAGACCTCCATAGCCCAAACAGGCATGTATGCTTACTGATACATCACTGATAGTTTCATCAGTAAAAGAAATCCCAGGTAATTCAGCAAACTTACCTTTAATTTCCTTGGACCATCTTTGGTTGAGCCTCTCTTTTTGTTTGGTGTAAGCATTGTAATAACTTTATCCAGGCCTCTTTCAAGGCTCCCAAACATCTTGGTTCCTTTTCTCTTTTGACCACTTTCAAAATGAGCTTGGTTCAAGTCCACTTCCACTGAGCGACACCTGTCATGTTCAGAGATAGCAAGTGCACAGTTGTTTTCAGTGGCTGGGAATTGACAGTTTTTAGATACATCAGTAAAAAGGTCTTTCAGCTTCTGCTCTTTTGTGGGGGTGGAGGGAAGGAAGAGGGGAGAAAGGGGAAACTGACAAAATACATGGCTAAAAGGACCTGCTGCACAACAGTAATTTGGGATTTTGAGAGCGAGTTGTATATATGCTCCAATTCTCTGGGGGCACAAGAGTGAATTTTAATTATGGAAAACAGGAATGCATCCAAGACTACTGAAGTGTGTAATGTAAGATTTTTTTTCTGCAGCTTTTTAATATTTGTTGGTAAATGTAGGAACGGATTTAAATAGGTTATAACAGAGCAAACAGATGCCATTGCAAAAAGCTTTCCCCCATCAATACAAGGATTAAGATTGTACAATAGACTACCTGAATATGCTCAAGTTAACCGGACATTTACCTTCTCTCAGGGCTAATGACTCCGGCTTCTAATTCACACGGTTTTGTAGAAGATGGTAGTTTAACTGGGGTCTCACTGGTGGCTGCTTGACTTCTCTCTGCAAGAAGCACCAACCAGTTTTGAGTCTATTTAGAAAGATGCATTATCAGCCCTTCTTAGTCCCATGCTTAATCCCATTATTCTCTTAGTTTGGTAGAAAAACAGCCATTCGTGAGTATTCCCCCCCACCCGCTGCAAAATCAGTTTGTAAATGCAAGGCTCCTCTCCTAACCAGACAGCCTGGAAAGGACCCAGCATCCTCAGTGGACCCCCCCAGAAGGAAATACCCCACTCCCCCCAAGAGGAATATTGAATGGGATATAAGCCACAGTTCAGAGCAGAGGGTGGATTTTAAAAGAGATTTGAAGGAAGAGATTCTTAACATAAACAAGAAGCTGAACTGATGGTAGGGGAGTTGGGCCTGGGGAGAATGCAGTTTCAACTAATAGTTATTCTGCTGGTCAACACAAAAAGATGTGAAAGAAAGTCAGAAGTGTTTGGCTAACTGCATAGTAGTTTTCAACAGCCTAATAACTATGAATAAAATGAAATACTTTTTAAAAAAGTGGTTGTGGAAATACCTTGAGCAAACTGTTACAGGTTTATTAAAAAAGGTACAGAGTAAGGAGCTATCCTACCCACCCACCCACTTCTGCACAGCAGGCCTCGTTAAAAAGTACCGTCAGTAAGATAATTGATTAATTAGGGCTTCCTGCTCATGCCCCCTTGGAATACCCCTCCCGGGAAGGATAGGTGCAGAAGTGATATTTTGTTATTTGGCCTAGAGGCAAGATAACCTAGAGCAACAGCTGGACACAGGACAAGTGCTCCAATACACCATGAAGCAGGAAGACTCGAACACAACAATTCCACACACCCCAATGTCAGATGTTAACCTGTAGTTACTGCCTTGAGCCCCACCCTCCAGTCTGGTATATGTTTCATGTAAACTGCTTGGAGTTTTGGGAAATTAAGTGGTAAATCCTGTCCAATAAAAAATAAATAGTATTTGTTAACAGTTTTCTGTTTCCAACAGCAATCCCTTCTCATTTCCAAGCCATACCTTCAGGCAGAAATGCACGATTTGGCGTTGTGAGCACTCTCTTCTCATTCATGACCCAAGCTGGTGTCTTTGGAGGGGGAAGAATAAACGGCTCTGGCTTTGCCGTAGAACAAGCACCAGAGTTTTCTTTGTTGGCATGCTTCTTTGAGGCTCTTCTCCTTGGCACAGGAAGCAGAGGCGGTGTGAACTCTCCACCATCCAGGAACAACTGAGGCTTTTCAAAAGAAAATATTTTGAGAAGGGGAACCTATTTTTCCCATCCCAGACAAGTCACAAGTGCAGATCAGTACACTGTTCACAGCAGGCCACGACCCAAGCCACCACAGGCATGTTGGCAACTTATTGTGTTCATTAGACACAGCTTGGCCTAACAAGGCAGGATTATCTGTACCTGATGTATGTTAAATGATCCAGTTTCTCTCACCCCTTACATGACACCATTTGACTTTTACACAGAGGCACACATGTGTTCTCTCACTGACTTTTCGCAAGAAGAGACAGAAATGTTCAACTATTGCTACAAGGGGTGTATCTGATCACACCTTGTAATTGATTAGTGGAGAATGAGCAGGATTGTTGCCTGTATTTTCCATCAATACAACACTATCCCGGACCTTTGCCAACGCCAAGTTGTTCACAGCCAATTCAAGCATTGGTTAAGGTTTTTATTTGACTCATCTTATCGCTATTTGCACTTCTACCATGAATAGCCCTGTAACACATCACCCAAGTTCTGTAACTTCCAGTTACATCATGTTAATGTTAGTCTAACAATGCCCAGTCCCACTTACTCTGCACTGGAACCATCCCATTCTTCTTTGGGAAAGCTCAAAGGTACTTATGTTTGGTCTCCACCTAGACACTGACTAGGCCACACCTGCTTAAGCTTAACAATGCTAAGGCATCAGACGCTCCCCAACAAACTATGGAAGCTGCCTTATACAGTCAGTCCATTAAGCCATCTAGCTCAGAACGGTATACACCAGAGACAGTGGCAACACTGTGCTCTCCAGATGTTGCAGGCTACAACGCCCTTCATCTCCAAGCACTGGCTGCAGTGATTCAGGCTGATGGGACATATCAACAACATCTGGAGGGTGCCACATTGGCTACCCCTAGCCTAGACTCAGTGGCAGCAAGTCTCTAGGGTTTCAGGCAGGACTCTTTCTCATCTCCACCTGGAGACACCGGCAGTTGCACTTGGGACTCTGTACACACAGCATATGCTCTACTATTCAACTACCTCCTTCCCTAGTGGAACCAGATACCACTGGGCTATTCCACCCATGCTAAATATGCTTTTTCTTCTCTCATGGTCTACTGAAATAGGACATACCTAACTGATAGCAATGCCCACCTCTCACAATATCTCAAGCACAAGCTGTTTTAGGTAAACCACAACCTCTAAGCCAATACCAACGTTTTAAACATCAGAGGCAAGCATAATTTTTTAAAAAAATCTATCATTTAGTTAATAGGTACAAGATACCTGCTTTGTTTTGGGTGTATTGCAAACAGGCTGAGATTCCTCATAACAGGCTAGGAATTCCATGGATCCAAAGCCACATGCCATTTCATTCCCATCTAGATTACCATCGTAAGACAGGGCCTTTTTGAAAACCTGTTCAAAGAGGTATAGTTCATTTCATTAAATGAGTGCACTTTCAAAACCCTTCAGTTAATTCTAAATGTCTCAAAGACATTACAAAAATAATAATCCAGCCTTTTGGGTACCCACACTTATTTGTTTCAGTGAGGTGAAAGGAAAAGCTTAGTGAATGACGAGCATACCATGCTGAACTGAGTGGTTCAACTCAGTTCCCGTGGTTCAGCATTAAGCTGTCTTCCTACCACTTGGTCATTCTGGAGAGAGGGAAGCCTCATCCCCTTGGAGGGGAGGCAAAAGGCTTCAGAGGACCTTGTCTGATCCTTTGACAAGGCATCATCCGTATTAGGAATGTCCTTCAGCAGCATCCGGCAAATCATAAGATTCAAGCCTGCCTTGGTTCCACTGTAATGAAGGCTTGGACAATACAGCCTGCTTCGAAGAGGAAACAGCACTTTGCGTTTGGAGGGTTCTGTGGCAAAAAACCATTTTATTTTTGATACTTCTGTCACATCCTTCCTTTCAAAAGGTCATAACCACTCAGATAGCACTGCCAAGCAATCTCCCATCCATGCAGGCAGAGATTTGCTTAGATTTAAACATAGGGATATCCCGTGCCTTCAGTCCCTTCTCTGGGTTCCAGCTCTAGAGCAGTGTTATGAGCTGTCTCCAATGTAACAGTGACCCAACTGACCTCAACTGGAAGTTAGTGTTGTCAGCCCCATGCTGTGGAACACCCTTTTAGGAGAGATTCATCAAGCACTCTCACTTTTGACTTTCATCTATTGAAGACACTTCATTTTAAACCTTTGTAGCCATTTTTTTAACTACCCGGTCACTTTAATAATTATTTGTATTGTTTTTAATTTTGTTTTATGTTTTAATATTGCATACCCTCCTGGTATGTTATGATATGGGGTGTAAAAATATTTTCATAAATAAATAGTTCATTCTATAGCTGAAATTTCATTATACTACTTGCTGCCAAGTCAAAACACCCAGCAAAGGCTTGTTTAGCTGCACCATTCATGGGGGCGGGGGGGCGGGAATGAAAACACAGCAAGCTTTAGGAGCAAGACAGTGACAAAATATGAATCACACACCTTCTGTTCTCTGGATGGAGTGATGCTAGCACCTTCTGCCATTACATTTGGAATCCTTAGACGAACAGGTTTACCATGTGCTTTCTTTGATTGAAGCAAAAGGTATGTTGCAGTCACATGATCATATTTCCACTAAGAATACAAATAGATCTGGGTTACTTTCTCAGCCATCTTCTTGAAAAGCAGGGGACAGTGGAGGGTGGAGGTACCTAAAATCAATGCCACATTCCAGAAAAGCTTAAACTGCATATAGTCTAAGTATTTTTTACCCCACCTTTTAAAAAACACCTTACTGTAACTTCATTGTGTTCAGCACAGAATTTTTGTAAACTTTTCCTTCCAAATATAGCCAATGGGTTTTTACACATGAGAACATAAAAGGCATGTTGTCACTGGTACCATCATATCAAAAAGTTTATCCAAGCAGAACTCCAGGACAGAGATTTTAAAAAAGGAAAATTGGGGAAAAGGCAAGGGAGTCCTATGCTAAGTGAAGGGAATCTTGCAGTGCCAGATGATGGAATAAGGAAGCAACTAGAAAGATTTCAGAACATAAATACTTTCCTCAAAAAGCACCAGAAAAGGCTGCTCAGCCAGTGCCTTCTCCTTCCCACACTTCAAAACCCCCCTCCTCCTTTTTTCTTGAAGGGAAGGCGATGTCAGAGTTCTGAATATATAGGCTAGTTCTAAAACAATTTTTGTCTTATTATAGAACCGAACATAATTATCTGAAAAATTAGGTTTATACATCTCTTGCTTTTGCCTTTTCAACAACTTTGAAAAAAAACCCTTTAAAAAACCCTAGCCATGTTCATGCCCATCTGAAATAAGTTTAGCAATTTAGATTCAAAACTCCATTAATTCGTCTCCCCCCACCATTATGATCACAGATTTCTGTGAAATTCACCTTCTGCCTCAAACCTCTACTGCATTAATTTTATAATTGTAGAATAGTCCGTACTTCCGAGTCAATGTGCCATGAAATATGCAAATTCTTACCATGAAATAAGCAGCTGATTGCCATGAAGATGCTGCCTGAGCAGCAACAATTTAGATCTGCAAGTTCTTCTTAAGAGATGCAAAACACAAGAATTTCTACTTACAACTGGTAAAGTCTATTGACGAGGATATTTGCAAGAGACCAATTGCTTATATCAGTGGCTTTGAACTGTGTTAAGGGGAATCCTGTGGTTCCCACAGAAGCCTATCAGGTTCTTCAGCGAGACCAGTGATGAGAACAATTCCCTGAAGAGTCAGATTATTGCTCACCAACATTTATTCAGGCAACATAGATGCTGGAAACTGCTAGAGTATGCTCTGAGAGATGCCAAAGAGCACACCTATCACCCTTTGTGAACCAATTGGCCTGGCCTGATACCTGGCATCCTCTGCAATATGGATTTCATGGCTGATATGGAAAACATTCTTTTAATAGTAAATAACTTGAAGACAACCAACTTAAGCCAGTGTTCCAAAGATCAGATCTAATCAGATTAAATTCTAAATCAAAGATATAATTTAGTGTACAGTACACAGAATGGGAATATCTGCACTTTATCATTAATTTTTGTGTATGCTCCATTGCAGAAGCATGTAAAAGGCACCTCTTCAGACAGGTTTGCTGCTGCTGGGTAGCAGAACTGCAAATTTGTTGATCTCACCAAAAAAGTACCAGCAAGAAACTTATTCCAAGTATTTGTATGTTAGTGTCATAAACAAACCTCAAACAGTGAGGCTAAAGAAACAAAGAAGTTAAAGATACACATTTTCCAAGCGTCCCAATGCATCTAAATCTTGAATGAGTTCTTCAGATGGAAACATGACATAAGGAATGTTACTTCTGTTCATAGCCAACATATCAAGTTATGTCCTTCTGTAGAGTTCCAGTTGTTTCCAGTTTTTATCTTCATGGAACTCTGTCGCTCCAAAGAAGCTTGTTCAGAAAAGTATGTGTCTGACAAATGATTCTGGTCGTGTTTAAGGTATAAACTTGGGTTGCTGCAGCAAGTCTCTCATAGGCCGGAGCCTAGTTTTGTGACAGGCTGAAACTAGGGGCTGATTCTGGCAAAGGTAGAACAGGCTAGAGGCAGATGACGTCTATTCAGAAGATAGCCATGAGTCAAAGGCAGATTAGATATGAAGTTCCAGATGAGATGGGTGGTCTGTGCTATTAACACCCGCAGATGAATGAGATATTGAGGAACTTTGGTTATAACTGGAAGTAAAAACCATAGAGAGAGCTAACCAAATCACACGTCCATAGCAGGCTGAAAAGCTGCAGTTCAAGCAGATGCCACCATACCAGAGACTGGGCAAATAATTAGTATGGGAGCTGTACTGGTAGCTTAAGCTGTAAGGTGCCTGGACTCAGCTGCTCATGTTTCCCAGCACAAGAACCAAGAGCAGGGGTCAGCAAACTTTTTCAGCAGGGGCCGGTCCACTGTCCCTCAGACCTTGTGGGGGGCCGGACTATATTTTGGAAAATATATATAAATGAACAAATTCCTATGCCCCACAAATAACCCAGAGATGCATTTTAAATAAAAGCACACATTCTACTCATGTAAAAACACATGGTTCTTGGACTGTCCGCGGACCGGATTTAGAAGTCAATGGGGCCGGATCCGGCCCCCGGGCCTTAGGTTGCCTACCCATGACCAAGAGTAAAGTCTTGAAAAACCCTAACCCTCTCCCAGCCATTCACTGCAGTGGATGACTGTTAGCAGCGGACCAATCTATTCAGTAACAGTTCTAAATTTAGAGTTTGAGGCAGCTACAGTCACAGATGTATTAGAGGGCTTAAACTACGTAGTTCTAAAATAGAGATGTTAGTTTTGAGACACACTCTACAGGATTGAATATTAGATGTATGAACAACTAAATCTCTCAGGAATTATTATTAAAGTCAAACATTACCTCTGAAATCATCTCAGCCATACTTTCTCTGCTACATTTGTGATACACCGAAAGTTCTGTTATGCAGTCTTCATCAAGACGCCCAAGCTGGAAGGGAAAAAGATGTGTTTAAATATTGGTGTTAAAGCTGCCGATACACCCACCCTCATTTTTTAAAGACCTGCACACTGCTGGCTCTTTTCCACCACACACTTTTCCACTGGATCACTATGTCTACTCTTAACTGTCAGATCTCCAGAACATTTTGCTTTTAAGTATACCTGCCCCCGTACTTATTTACACAATTTTGTTTGAAAAAAAAAATACCCAAGTGGTCTGTAATCCTTGATTGCAAAATACCCATGGGGAATCATTTACAGGACTACATAATAATGCATAGCATTATGTTGGTATCTATTAACACTAGTCATCTGCACACTTTAGAGCTGGAGGTGGGGAGAGGACCCTCCACTTAAAATGGTGAGAAAATATAAATATTTGGAACAGGGCAAGCATTTCTGAAGTCAAGAGTTCAGTTTCCTATTAGTTTTTGCAGCCCTGTTTTGTGTATTTTTCATAGTTCACTTAGCAGAATCGATATAGTGTCAGATGTTTAGATGTCGAGAGCTAGTATGTCTCAGCTTGTTCTCACTAGCAGTTATTTCTGGATTGAAACCAATTCTGGATGATCTCCTATTGTGCCTGGTGCTACAGCATACTTTTACTTTGCAGTCCGGGAGGGAAGAACTGAAACAAAATATGTTTAAGTATATGTAGCCAAGCATAAATAAAGGTAGAATGTTCTAGTATAGAGAAACAGTGACACTCAATGGGCAGTGGCCGGTGTGAATAATTTCGTCAGGCTCATCGCCTATATGCAAGCACAGCATCCACTAGATTTCAAATGGACCTGCTGCTTATTTGGCTGCACAGAAAGGTCTCCACTCAACACTGTGGAGAGCCTCTGCTGGTCAGAACAAACCATGCCAGGCTAGATGGACAAAGTCAATCAGCTGCTTCCTATGTATGTATCTATGTCTGAATTCAATGAACAGCTCTCCCCTACTGCAGGTCACTTTGCCAGGCTTTCGTTGGCTCAAGTCACATCTGCAAAGGAAGATCCATTTCACTCCTGGCTTAGAGTCAGGAATACAAAAGAAGAATTGCAAGCGCACATCTTCATTATTAGTTGTGGCTTGAAATTTCCTGCACCCGACATCAGGCATGGCATCAGAAGCAGAAGGTCGGTGTGGTTTGCGGGGAGCAGACTGGTGGATCTAGCTAGACCTATGGGCCAGAAGGTCCCCACCACTGAGCTATATGCTCATGTGTTCAGTGCTGACTTAATGAGGAAAAGAAGGCAACGGCAATTTAGTTATATAATATGTATAAAATAATATGTCAGATCTCTCTCATCACTGCTGTTTGATTCCAGTCAAATCAGGTTGTTTTGACACAGATACACATATATGGCTCATTGTTAAATGTGTTGTGTATGCTCTTTAAAACTTCATAATGGTAGGCAAGTACAGACTAAAGGTGCAGCTTGCTTTTGAGCTCAGTCTAGAAACCCACAGGAGACTTGTATTAACCACTGGTGCAGACAGTACACACAATGCTTAGCAGCTGGCTGCATCATGCAAGAACACTCATTTCTTTCACTATAAGAATTCTGAACTCTTTTAAACACACAACACTCTGTGAAAGACCTAGAAGATTCAGTTTAGTGTTCCATTTAGGAGAGAAACTTCACCTTGTTACCATGCCACATTAGCCTAGGTTCAGCTTTGTTTTGTTTTTTTTTTCAACGGAACTGACACTTTTATTTTTAGTAGTAATTAGTTTCAGATCAAGCCACAAGCAGTGCAGAATGAGACCACTTCTCAAAACAAAGTAGGGGCTGGAACAGTGAGGAGAGAAAAAGAATGGAAGGCTAAAATGTACATTATACAAACCCAAACTGAATCCCAGAACCAAGCAAATGGAAGACCATGACCTCCAGATCCTTAGGGGTTTGACCTGCATGTGCATACAAGCTACCAGTTCTGCGCAAAGGGGGGGGGGCATTCTAATTTCTCTCCAAGTAACCTTAGCACCATTAACAACCAAGAGCAGCAGAAAGGGCATTACTCTCTCTTGCCTAGCTGAATACAATTGGCCTCCAGAACCCATCAGATTACTCAGGAAAGCCTTTCCAAAGTACCTTTCCCCAGCTTTTGCCCTTTGGGGAAAAGATTAAAAATAGCAGGTATAAGCTGAATTATTTCCTCCTCCACTACCCCCCCTCAATTCTTTATAAGCAGCGCTAATCAAAACGACACAACAATCAGTGTATGCTCTATAGCCAGGTTCCTGTAGTTACCAATTTGCCAGGAGCAGATGTTATCACCCAGCCCACTGCAGTCAGTAGACTCCTTTTCACACAGGCCGGAAGCATCAGGAGCTCCCTGCTTGCCTCAAGTGACAAGCAAGTGTGCCACCCTGACCACACTATTATTCCCAGGTCAAAGGAGTTATACTTGGCACAGCCCTGGCACTTTGGCTTCTGCGATGCAATACTTCGTTTTGGTATTAACTGGACAGGTTCAGCTTTGTTATATTGCTCTTGTTCAGATGAATCTGTATACTCACAGGATATTTACTTTGCCACTGGACAGCAAATGAGTAGCCGTGCATGAGCCACGGGTGACTTAAGAGATGCTTAACCATAATCCGTTTCTTTGGGTCCACCTAGTGGGTAAGAGTAGAGGTGCATTTCAAGAAACAGTTACTTTAATCAGAATAAATAACTGTACCATATATTTTAGCAATCCTCTGCTATAAGGATGGAGCTGTGCAGTTAAGCAAAAGGCTAAACATAGTTTTTCCAAGACATGTCTGAAGGTTTGTCCTGAAAACTATCATGAAAACCATTCCATCAGCCCTGATTTCAGGGATGTAATGTTCCATTCATTTGCTTTACTATGTTAAGAAACTGTAAAACTGTAAAATGCTGTTAGTATCATTGTGATGTCTGCGTGAGGCACAAGGATCAGTAACTTGCATCCCTGCAACTGGCAGGAGAGAGTCTGGTCACATCCATCTTAATTTCCCACTTTTGTTAAGCAGTTTGGGATTTCTCCCCTTTTTTAAAGACAAGGTGGAGTAAAAGGAAGAACAGTAGTTGCTTTTTACTAAAGCGACTCAAGCTGAAGCCTTCATGTATTTCCCTCCTCTTTATATAATAAAGGTGCAACGCTGTAAGAAGTGATGAGACAAATTCATGGTGGATAGGGCTGTTGACAGCTATTAGCAACCTCCAGAGACAGCATGCTTCAAGGCCAGCTTGAATGCCCTAATGGTGGGCTTCTCAGAAGCACCTAACTGGCCACTGTGGAAAACGTGATGGACCTCTTTCAGGGCTCTGTGGACTTAAAACACCAACGTTCCTTAAATCACTGCTCCTATTAGAAGACCATTCCAGAGAAAAGAGGACATTTACTAGAAGTGGGGCAGAAAGAGAATTTGCTTCCACCAGATGTGGAGGCGGCCACCAACTTGGATGAATCAAATCTATGAAGGATAAGGCTATAGGTCACTGACAATGGCTATGTTCTCCCACCACGGCTAGACTTAGGAAGCCTCTGAATACCTGTCACTGGGAATCAGGGGTTGGAAGAGTGCTGTTGCACTCAAATCCTGCTTGTGGACTTTCCATAGACATCTGGGTTGGTCACTGTAAGAACAGAATACTGAACTATTGGTCCATTGCACTTATGCTCTTATTACCTGCAGCATCTGGTGCAGCAGTAGTTCACTGGCAGGTGAGAGCCATTTTGGTGTCTCATATTTCCCCCTCTGTAGAGAAAGTAGTTTTAGCATTAGTTCTAGTTGAATTAGTGGAACAGCCATCACTTGAACCCATCAGTTTTCTACCACCCACCCCCCAAGCAAAATATAGGGTGCTTGTTAGGTTTCAGGGTTGACCCTGAAAAGTAACAGCAACATAGCCTGACCTCCACTGGGCAAGTTGGTAGGAACATTAAATGGACCAACATGGGTATCTATGCAGCGCAAGATTTTACTCCAAAAGCAGAGAAAAAAATTAAGTATGAAACCTCTCATCTTTAGAAGAGTGAACTCAAAGAGCATGAATGAAATTCAGTGTTAATAGCCAGTGTAATACCCAATTCTCCATATGATTGAAGCTTTCCACAGTCTGCATCATAGCACTCAATCATTGCAGACGTCACCTCACTGCGCTGGATGAGTCAAGGACATTATATTCTGCACATTTAGTGCCCAAATATAAATGTAGGCTACAGCTATAGTTTTTGATCAGCAGCTTTACTTCTCTAGCTTCTGATAATTTAAGAGGGCTGGAAGTGAAAAACTAGAAGTGATTTTAATCTGTGGGCAGCACTCATCCATCTACCGAAGAGCAGATGGGAAACTATTGAAAGCTGTTCCTGAGAACTTAGGTTTATAAAGGAAATAGATTTTGCTTGATGACCAGGTAAGCGACAGAAGGACAATCCAAAGGCTCAAGATCCACAAGGTAGCTTGTAGTTTTGAGCCACAGACCTGGACACCTTAAAAAGATCTTAATCACTCCTTGTTTACAGGCATTAGGGGGCCTTTCCCTTCCTTCTCCCACCTAGTCATTTGATGTGCATAATACATTCTTAGTCTAACCATCTATTTTTAAGAAACTTTTTACAATAGCCTCTGGTATCTTAAGCTTACTGGAAACAAGCTCTGTGAGGATTTTAAGACCCTGTTTCCCGGCAGGGATGGTGGCCCTCCAGAAGTTGCTGGACTACAACTCCCATTATTCCTGGCTACTGGCCATCCTGGCTGGTGCTGATGGGAGTTGGAGTTCAACAGAATCATGTGAGCCTCAAGTTTCCCTTCCTTGCTTTTGGGAAAACAGTAAAGATGCCTTTAGCGGGAGGAACAGGAGGGTTGTGTCTTCCTGCCTCTTCAGAGCTTCTGAACAACAATGCAGAGCTCATTTGATTATTGCACTGTGCACCGTGTGAAGAAGACTCGGAAACTTCAATTGGTCCAAAATGCAGCGGTTAGATCACTGGCTGGGTTTCCATATAGATTTTTCAGCTAATGCTGAAGACACACCTATTTACCCTGGCCTTTGACAGCTGATGCGTATATTTTCAGGACCCTGTTTTCAGGACCCTGTTTTCAGGATCCTACTTTTTGTGACTGTATTTTTTTCCCAATTTAAAACTGTTTTTATTGTTGTCTTTAAAATTGTTGCACCCCACCCTGGGACCTTAGGGTGAAGTGTGATTATTATTAAAGTTAGTTCCCTCCCTACACCCAGTTTATATTCAATGCCCACCACAAAGTCATAAGGCAAGTCAGGCTCCCCAGATGCTAACTTCCTTCCTCCATACCTTCTCCTGTATTGTGAACCCTGATTCTGAGATATGCAATCAATTGCTTCCCCAAAGCTCTTTTCAATTCTATCAAAGCCTGCATCTTTACAGTTTGTCCTTAAATATATTATATTACCATGTAATTGTACATTGTTTTAAAGCAATGCCTCCAAGGGTTTATTCATCTGAAAGGTCTGGGTCTTCATTACTGAAGATCAGAGAATCTTCTCTTGGGAAAACATCCACATTCCAAGGGCAGACACAATAATCACCAACAAACTTAAGGGATGCAGAGGACAGGGTACACCTTTTTAAAAAGCTAATATGTAGCCATATCACTGACACTGAGCAGAGCAGGAGATTTGTCTTTCCTCCAAAGCTAGAGAAGAGTAGAAATGAGGTCAGGACATAGAATGCCTTCTCCAGTAGAGGAAAAGCTAAATTAGGACCCTTCAGTTTAGAAGAGACAAACCTAGTAAGATTCAAAGCAAAAACACATGGATGGGAAATCTGTGAAATGTTTAATCTCATGCAACTAGAAGATGTTGACTGCAGATCATCCCTAAAAGCTAGTTACATAGGAGTTTGTTTCAGAAGAAATCTAGAAGTGCCTACACAACTATATTCAGGTAGGTAGCCATGTTGGTCTGATGCAGTCAAAATATATAAAAAAATTCTCCAGTTAGGACCTTAGAGACCAACTAAGTTTGTTCTTGGTATAAGCTTTTGTGTGCATGCACACTTCTTCAGATATGAATCTATCAAATATGAATCTGAAGAAGTGTGCATGCACACAAAAGCTTATACCAAGAACAAACTTAGTTGGTCTCTAAGGTGCTACTGGAGAATTTTTTAAATTTTTTTATATATTACACAACTATAGTATGAGCCAGCAGTACATTGCATAATCTAACTTTATCTCGTATTAGCTCACATATTAGCTGCAAGTCAAGTTACAAGAGGCAGCTGGCTACCTAACCCAGGCCTTAGAATGGCCTACTTTCATTATAAGGCCAAATCAGGAAGCCCTCAAGTCCAACACAGCACAAACACTCGGACTGCCTTCTACAGACTCAAACCTGTAGACCACCAAGTCCAGTGCTGCCTATTTTAACTGGCAACAACTCTCCAGGGTCTCAAAGTAGACGCCTCTCATCTGCTACCAGAGATTCTGGGACAACACCTAGGACCTTCTGAATGCAGAACATGTAGCCGTTGAGGCTGAAGGTGTTGAGCAGAGTAAGAGGTAACCCCCCGCCTAGTGGCAGCACTAAGCAGAGTTGTGATCAAGTTAAGCACAGGCTATTAACCAAACCTTAGGGCCATTTTGCAGGCACACTGCTGGATTTGCAGCCAAGGATGATTAGGCCCAATTGATCGGCACTGTGTCAAGTTATAGTTGCACAGGTTTCTTAGGTGCTGACCTGAACATTTATCACAACTGAGATTTAATGCACTACCCTATCTAGAGCCAGATAATACAGTGTGCTTTCTCACCAATATGCTCCCCCCACCTCCTAGCAAGCAATGGGGCAGGGCGTGGGGGGAGGATGCTACAGAAGGCCTGTACCTTCTGTACTTCACAACATGGGGAGAAAAGTCACCACACCTCCAAGACCAATGCATGCAGCATAAAAATAATTACACACCTGACTAAGGTAAGAGAATAAATTGTCCTGGGCAGATTAAATCATGTGGGTGCTTACAACTGAATGAGTGCTTCTGCATGCCAAAGCTGCTGCCCTGGCCTCTTGCCATGAATGAGCACTTTTAGGAGATTTCCTAAAAGGCTGACCGAAACACAACACAAGAGCCTGGGTGCCCTTCTGGTAAGATAGTCGATAGCGTCTAACAGACTACAAGAATGTTTGGGTGGGGTGGGAGCATTGAAGAAAGAACATAGCAGAATTCAAATGCCAAGATTATCCCAAGGTGGGCCTTTAAAAAAAAGCCACTGGGATATCACAAAAGAGCATCCTTAGGCTTCCATGAGAATCAGCACGATCAAGAGAACAAGTTTTAAGAGCTATGAAAGGGCTTCTTGCTGTAAATCCCCCAAACTCTGTTGGAAACAGGTCTCTCCCACGGTTGCTGCTCAAGCATCCTCCCACAAGCATGAAGACCCAAATCCTGGAAACAGTACATATGCCAGAATACATACCACTATTTTCTTGTAGAGCACCATAACATTATCGTCGTCGAATGGTAGAAATCCACAGAGCAGAGCAAACAAAAGCACTCCCATGCTCCAAATGTCAGCCTGGGATGACAAGCAGGTAAGTTAGAAAAATATAAAGGTTGGTCACTTTGTGCACAAACATCCCACACAGCCCTAATACAAAATAATAAACAAAGTCATGGTCACCTCTGAACAGTTATGGTAGGTACTGGCTATCAACTTTTGATGTTAACTGCCCAGCCCTTGGGGTCCCCAGTGTTGATGGCCACATTCACCACAAAGGCTGCACTGCTGCACTCTGGTGAGCACAACAAGCCCCAGTCTCTTGCCCAACCATGAAGCTGGAGCCGTGGTCACCCCTGCAGTTGCGTGGCACACCTTGCAAGAAAGCCCTACCCTACAGTAACAAACCCCAGCTCCCTTGCAGCTCCAAGAAGTTTTCTTTGTGGGTGGGTGAGGAAGAGACAAAGGTCTGCATTCTGTGGTCCTGTGCCTTCAAAGCATTTCAGCAACAAGCCCCAGCCTTCGTCTCCAGCTTTCAATGTCCCCCAAAAGGACAGTGTAATTGCAGGGATAATGCTCATCCTAGCTGCAAGATGGGGAGGAGATTAGTTTGGAGCAAAGTAGGGGATTGACTACCACACAATTTAAAACAGGGTGAGGTCAAGAAGAAGCCTCTGCCCCTTGGGCCCTAGCACCCATAAATTTCTCAGAACCCACCACTGAGTCACTGACGACAAAGGCCAGACAACAGTGTGGACACTGCCACTCCTCTTATACTGCAAAAAATTAGATTTAGCCTATCAGCGATGTATGCCATTAGAGGAGAGGTAGAGCACACAGCTCGTAGAGTGTTAAGACAAAAGGTTCAAGACTGGCAGGAGAGGAAGGCTTTCCTGTTCCATTTGGAGGGTGCCCCCATTGCCTACTCTATAAGGTAACAGAGGAAGATATTGCAGAAGAGGAATAAAAGATGCAACAGCACTGAAGGGATGACCAGAGACTACGACCGCATCTTTGCAGAAGACGCTGAAAACAATATTATCCACATACACAGTTGTCACGTATGCCCCTTTAAAATGGCTCCCGCTTCAGAAAGTTAACAGACTTTGTTACATTTTACGCAGCGGCCATTCTGTAAAGAAAATGTGTATGCAAGAGTCAATATCGAGAAATGTTAAAGAATCTACTACAATACCTCTGAGCCAATGTAAGCTTTGCCCTGAATCAGCTCTGGTGCTGCGTAGGCTGGACTTCCACAGCAAGTGCTTAGATGGTAATCCAGACCACCCTACAGCAAGAACAACATAGTAAGCCACATCTGCAACAGGATACATTTTGCATCTCACCTAGATATGTGTGCAATTGACAGTGGGCACTGTCAGCCCGAAATATCTAAGATGTTAAAAGCAAAGTCGGATTGCTTCCCCGGTTCCCAATGGGGTTAAACCAACCTTTCTGAGTCTCCCTTGACCAACTACATTCTTTCTGTGGCACCCCTGATATGTCACCCCTTGCCTGCAGAGCTGGCAGCCTCTCACCTTTTTCCGAACACCTTCCCTTGTGCTGTTCAGCCTCCTCTCTTCTCCTTGGGATCAGCTGCCGCCCCTTGTCTATGAGCTGCCCCCCCTACCCCAAAGAGAGGTGCCTCCTCACACTCCCCCACAGGGGCCTGGGAAACACCCCCCGGCCAGCCCCAGAGGCTCCATTCGCCTGGGGAGCTTGTAGCCACGTCTGCTGCTGTGTAGCTGTGCAGACCTTTGGGAGGCAAAGACATGAGAGGGCATCAGAGGAGGAAGGGAAGGAAAGAGGGACAGAGGCCAGTGCTGGCTGCAGCACCCCTGACTATCATTCAAGGCACCCCAGGGTGCCACAGCACACTGGTTGAAAACCACTGGGTTAAACTATTGCATTCTTCTCTTTCACCTTTCAGCCACTATGTCAGGCATCCCCAACCTTCGGCCCTCCAGATGTTTTGGACTACAATTCCCATCATCCCTGACCACTGGTCCTGTTAGCTAGGGATCATGGGAGTTGTAGGCCAAAACAGTTGGAGGTCCACAGGTTGGGGATGCCTGCTCTAAGTCATTATATATCTGAAGTTAAGTTTGCTTGCCAACTGCAACTCTAGGACACCCTAACCACCTTCTAACCCTGTTCCGTTTTAACCTGCCAAAGTACTCAAACCCACTTAAATTCAATTTAGCACACATAGGGCCAGATAAAGAAAGGAAAGAGCTGTCTAATAACAAGCTTGTGTTCAGGATCCTGTGTTTCCAATCCTTTATCAACAGAAATTCAACAATCTGCTGAAGCCAGCAGCCCAAAATTCTATATTTACATGTTTTGAATTGCTTCAGTATTGTACTGGGAAGAGCCACAATGTAGGAAAGAAGATAAGCCAGGATATATAATGGGGGAGCATGTCATCTGAACGCAAACCGAATCACATCACACCTTTCAGTATGAACCAAGTGAATGGCTGGGCTTCAGAAGGCCCATGGCTGAGCAGAGCTATTTAAATCCAGCTTTAATCAGAATGCATCTCTGGAGCAGGAAAGAAAGACAGGAAACCTCTGACATGGTTTGGTTTGGAGATGAAACAGCAATCATCTCACCTTGATGACAGCAATAGTATCCCGTGTTTTCTAGTGCTACTGACAAAATGGCAGAGTTCATTGCTTTGCACAAACTCACCAATGGTTTTGCACAGAGACCAAAGTCGATCAGCTTCAGGTTATGCTCAGCATCAATCAGCAAGTTTTCCTGACAAGAGAGATTGCACGTTAGAAGCAAGTAAATTTACACAGCAACCTTGTGCTGTAAATTGTTGACGAGGAGAAAACAAACTCCAGTCAAATTCCCAACCCTAAAAACATACATAGAAAACAAAACCAGGTGGTCTCTTAGTTAGACCGAGCTAGAGAAAGAACTGGAAGAAAATCAAAAGGAATCTTTATGGAGCTTGCACTAAAATCTCTACGACACTAATTATGCTGAGTGGGATTAGAGGCACAGAATGCTCAGATGCTCTGGGAACTAAGCTGTTCACAATGCAGCTTCTATAAGGGATGAGAAAGATGTCAGTTTGGCTGGCAGCTGATGCAAGTCTTGAGGAAACCAAGGCAAGTAAAAGCTAATCAAAGGAAGGGAAGGGCTGTATGTTCTGTGGAAAGGGAGAAGCCTAGTTCCTAAATTTTAGTTAAGGGATGGTGGTTGAAGGAAGTGAAACAAGAAGACAGTGCACCGTTTGCCAGAAGCAGTTGGGCAGGCAAAGCTTGGAGGACCATAGATTATGGGCAAGGGAGCATCATCTCGCTAGGTGCAGAGCCTAGACTGCAGCATGGAAGTTCTGCTAGCTGTGGCTTCACGCGTCACAACAGCACTGTGACATGTCAACCACAAATGTGTGACTAGAAGGAAAGAGCAGTGGGTATAATGGCAGTGAGGCCGAATGTCAGATACTGGGTTTTTTGGCTGTGGGCTTCTTTCATGCAAAACAGAAGGAGCAGCCAACCCAGCAAACTATTTGGAGTCTGGCATACAGCTAGTTTATTCCTAAAGAAACTCTGCTTCAACCTTCCACACTTACCGGCTTAAGATCCCTGTGAGCATACCCCTGACTGTGTACGTATGCAATGGCAGCTACAATCTGGCGGAAAAAGATGCGCGCTTCCTCTTCTGCTAAGCGATCCTTAGCAATGATGTAATCAAACAGCTCACCGCCAGGGCAGTACTGTAGTGAAAGCAGAAGGCAAAAGTGTTTAAAAGGCACTGGCTAAACTTGAAGCCAACAAAACAGGCTGATAAAAACTGTCGGGATCTAGAAACCGGGAAGCTGTCAAAGATACCAAATCAAGTTTTCATTTATGAAAAGGGCAAGTTTCTATCCTTCTGGTGATCCCTTGGGTTGGACGTTTAATACGCAGAAGACCAATGTCTGTATTTCCAGGCAGTTCCTGTGTTCTCCAGTCCTAGCACAATGCAACCCACCACAGAGTACAGTGGTACCTCGGGTTAAGTACTTAATTCGTTCCGGAGGTCCGTTCTTAACCTGAAACTGTTCTTAACCTGAAGCACCACTTTAGCTAATGGGGCCTCCTGCTGCCGCCGGAGCACGATTTCTGTTCTCATCCTGAGGCAAAGTTCTTAACCTGAAGCACTATTTCTGGGTTAGCGGAGTGTGTAACCTGAAGCGTATGTAACCTGAAGCGTATGTAACCCGAGGTACCACTGTAGCAGCTTCTGGAATAGAAGTCAGCAAGGGCTCCACAGGTAAGGAACACATTTCTGGGAGAATCCTATCAGTGGCATGCATAGGTGTGGTACACACTTCCCGAATATACCACAGGAAGCAGATTATTGAAAGGCAAGAGACCACTGTGAGTGTGCATGATACCAAAGCACTTATATGAAGAATATATACAATGAAGAAGTATGCTTCTTACAAAAAGGGCACAGAATCCTTAATTAGCATTTGGGAAGGTCTTCTAGAGGCTCATAAAGCTGCAGGATACAGCCTGTGGGGATCCTAGTTGCACCCCCACCCCACCCCACAGCTGAAACCCAATGATGAATGTGTCTTCTGTACTTAGTTTTAGTCACTCAAGAGCCTTCCTGCTCCTCTTTCCCCTGTACATTTAACTCCCTCCTAATGTCAACTGCCTGCCTTTTCTCCACACAGGAAAAGAACTTTTGTTTGTATTTTTAAAATGCTATGTTGTGCAGTCAAGCAGGCTAACAAATCCATGTTTCTGTATTTGGTAGGGCACCACTCTGGGCACTTTTAGTGCAATATCATTTTGTATTGCCTTTATGGCATTTTAATTTTTTTGTGTTTACATCTATTGTTGTACACCATCTTGATATTATACATGAGATGTGACAATATAAATAAAGCAGCATGAATTATTACCAGATCCACTTTGCAGAATAATAATAATAATAATAATAATTTTTTATTTATACCCCGCCCTCCCCAGCCAAGGCCGGGCTCAGAGTGGCTTACAAGCAATAATAAAAACAAGATGAATGATTACAACTTAAAAACAAAAATAAAATACAACATTAAAATAATGGAACATTAAAATGTTGCCTCATCGCAGGATGAGAAGGAAAAGAAAAAAGAAAGAGAGGGAGGGAGGGAATCAAATTGGCTCCAAGCCAAAGGCCAGGCGGAACAACTCTGTCTTACAGGCCCTGCGGAAAGAAATCAGATCTGCAGGGCCCTGGTCTCATGAGGCAGAGCGTTCCACCAGGCCGGGGCCAGAGTTGAAAAGGCCCTGGCTCTGGTTGAAGCCAATCTAACTTCGTTAGGGCCTGGGACCACTAGGGTGTTCCTATTTATGGACCTTGAGGCTCTCCGTGGGGCAGACCGGGAGAGGCGGTCCTGTAGGTACGAGGGTCCTAGGCCGTGTAGGGCTTTAAAGGTCAAAAGCAGCACCTTAAATCTGACCCTGTACTCCACCGGGATCCAGTGCAGCTTGAAAAGCACTGGGTGAATATGCTCCCATGGCAGAGACCCCGTGAGGAGCCTCGCTGCAGCATTCTGCACCCGCGGGAGTTTCTGGGACAGCTTCAAGGGCAGCCCCACGTAGAGCGAATTACAGTAGTCAAGCCTGGAGATGACCATCACATGGATCACTGTGGCCAGGTTGGGGCGGGAAAGGTAAGGGACCAAATGCTTGATGCGGCGAAGGTGGAAAAATGTCGCCTTGGCTGTTGCTGTAACTTGCGCCTCCATGGAAAGGGAGGCGTCAAGAATTACACCCAAACTCTTAACGGAAGGCAATGGCACTAATTGGGCCCCCGCAAGAGAAGGGAGTTGGTCCCTCATCCCCATGCCATCCCAACCTAGCCATAGGACCTCTGTCTTCGAAGGATTTAGTTTCAATCGGCTCCCACGAAACCATCCACAGCTTCCAAGCATCTGGTCAGTGTGTTCGGGGCCGAGTCGGTGTGGCCATCCATCAGCAGACAGAGCTGAGTGTCATCAGCATATTGGTGACAGCCCAGCCCAAAGCTCCGGATAATCTGGGCAAGGGGGGCGCATAAAGATGTTAAAAGCATCAGGGAGAGAATTGCGCCCTGCGGCACTCCACACACCAAGGAGTGGCGCGACGACATTTCCCTCCCTAGTGCCACCCTCTGTCCCCGACCAGAGATAAAAGAGCACAACCAGTTACGGGCTATGCCCTGTATCCCCACGTCTGCAAGGTTTAGAGAGGAAATATTCTATTGTGCCTAATTCTAGAACTCCATGACTGAAGTTTTCATATTATTTACTTATTGAATTTATATACCGCCCTATACCTGGAGGTCTCAGGGCGGTTCACAGAACAAAATCAAAATATAAAACCACAAAATATATAATCAAAATAAAAACAACAACCCAACAACACCCCCCACAAAAAAACTACATTTTAAAAGGGCATATGAACATAGGCAAGGAGAAAAGGCTGCTTGTATTGTATTAACATGCTGGAAGAGGGTTTTGCTTGGCGCTTACATGCATGCTAGTTGCTACCAAAACACAAGGCGGCATGATGAGACACTTCTGTCCCCATCCTGCTATGTCCCCAAGACTACAGGCACTTGATCCCCTCCGTAGACAAGTTACAGAGAAGAGGGGACTTCCAAGAACCTGACACAAAACTCTAGGCCAGCATTCTTGTTGGTTTGAACAGTGCCAAAAGACCAGTTGCAAACTAACCCTGTTAGGTTGTATAGCTGCCACCACTCCTTAGTCCAACAGCTTGGGACAGGAGACCCTCAATGCCTTAAACAGACAACATTAAGATTTCAAGGAGTAAGAGGTAAAAGTTCTGCCCCAAATGACAACATACCAAATGGCTCTCACCGTGAAGGACCAAGAGAAAGACCCTAAAAAGATGCCAATAGTGACTGACAGGGTCTATTTCAGGCTCCTGAAACATTTTAGCCTTAAGCAGCAAATATTTTAAAAAGCAGAATGAGGTTTCAAATCTTACCTCTAGAATCATGAATATCTTCTTTGGTGTCTCAATCACCTGGTATAACCGACAAATGTTCTGGTGGCTTAAGCTCTTCATGGCTTCAATTTCTGTTTTGACGCGAGGCAAATCATCCTAAGAGATGAAAGGTTTGTGGGCTTTCCAGATAATGGATTGCCACAATAGAGAAACTTCCTCTACATTTTCCCCGTCCCATCCTGTTAGATCATGTTTATGAGATTGTATTTTAAAAAGCAACAATTAAATGCCACTTTAAGGTCACAGTTACGGAAATGCACTGTCCAGGTAGTGCTAACAGAGCTCAACATAGTGCCAGAAGCTTTGATGCAGAGCTTGAAGTCTGAATTCCCTTATGGCCACAAATGTACAGTTTCACATTAACAAGTTGTACGATTAGAACCTTATTTGTACAAAGGAAACCCATCCTTTCCCAGCCAGAAAGTCACTCACCCCCAGAGACAGCTTGTCCATTATTTTTATTGCAACCTGTTCTCCAGTAAGTAGGTGACGAGCCAGTTTAACCTTTGCAAAACCACCTACAGTAAGGAAAGAAAAAAGGCAAGGCTACAGATTTAACATTAGTGATCAACTCCTTGTTAAAGATCTATATCCCTACATGGTACCATCTATGTTCTTTGTACTTCTGCCTCAAAACCCTCTGTGAAACCTTTGGCTTAATCCCTTATCTTCAACTGTAACATCCAGCCTTAGCACTAGATGTTTCTGAGTTAACATATATTTATATCTTGTATGCTTTAACAGTCCCTCCATCCCCTCTGCTGCTTCACACTGTCCACATTGAGGCTGGAAGCTCCTCTTACAGCTCTTAACCGAGAATACAGTCCCAAACGCATTTATTGCGCTGCTCACCGCATCAAACTAGTGGGACTGACTTCTGCAAAAAAATGCTTATATTTTGCAGTAAATCTAAAAAAAAGCAATATTAAATACTACCTCCCTTTAACAATCATTAAATTGTTTTTCATTATATTCATGTTGTGAGCTACTTTAGGGGACTCCCCTGCTTTTTGACAAAACAAATCTATAAAGCAAGCTAGATTTTCATAACTCTTTATTTAGAGCAGCTTTTATTTGAAATCATCAAGCAGCATACCTGTACCAACAGTTTCGTGTAGTTCATAATATTTGAGTAGCTCCTCATAGTCATCCATAGCCATGCTGAGAGGCAAGACTTTCTCCTTTAGGCACCTGAGAGAACAGAAAAGCAACCATTGATGCCAAAAAGGTCATAGCAGCAAAACACTATAAGTACAATATAAACATTTACTTATTTATATTTTTAATTAAAAATAAAGAAAGAAATAAGAACTATACCTTTCATCTAAACTGACTTTAGGGCAAATTCTACAAGCACTTTTAAATACTTGAATATATTACAAACACATTATGGTTTTTTAAAAAACATGCAAGATATACCTAATAAATACTTTAGTCAATCTTTGTGAAAACTCATCATTAAAAAAAGAAGTGGCGGGGTGGGGGCAGGGAAGAAGAAGGGAAAACCAGATGATTACCGGTGGGGATGGAAACAAGGCCTCTGGGTCTTCTTGGCTGGACCAGACCTCCCTGTCAAATCTCTTTTTGATCTGTCAAATCAAAATCAGCGCAGCAGGCAATACTGCCTGCTTGAAATGGGCAAAACTTGCTCATTAGGTGGGGTAATTAATGTAGTGCCCTCCAGCTGTGGACGAACTATAACTCCCACCATCCCCAGCCATTGACTATGCTGGCTGGGGTTGATGGGAGTTGTAGTCCAACACATCTGGAGAGCCCTACTCCTTGTTAGACCACCCCTGTCATAAGGCATAGTGCTGCTCATTTCCCAGTGACATCACAATATACTCTTGGTTACCATCACCAAGCCTCACTCCCTAGCACACCACAGCCTGATGCTTCAAAAGAAAGCTTTTACTGTCTTCCTTTTTCTTCAGAATATCCCATACCATGGGCCAGATATCTTCATCTTTGAATTGATTTTACTCAGAAAAGCTAAGTAAGAATGGCATGCTAGTTTCTCATTCTTTACATTAGGCTGCAACAGTTATTGTCTGCCTTCCAAGGAAGGTCATCTGTGTTGCCTGATCCATTTCTTCCAACGGTGCTGCCAACCTCTAAATGCTGAAAGAGTGATACAGAGGATAAATGTACCTTCCTATCTCCTACCTCTCATCAAAGGGGGATACAAATGACACATATTTGGCCTAACCTGTTTCACCCCCTATAAGTGATATGCATAAGCCAAATGAAGGCATCATAGGACTGGGGAGAAGCAGGATCACATGTGCTATTGATGTCCTTGGCATTTATGTCTAGTCTCCCCCACCCAAATGATCTCTACCCTACATTCACATACATCAAACCTGCACATATACATACAGATCAACGTGCAAAAGGGTGTGATCACACTCCCTGTCCCTGCACAGATTCTTGAACCCCAGATATCACAATTAAATCCCCAATACAGTCATACCTCGGGATAAAAACACTTCAGGATAAGTATTTTCGGGTTGCACTCCGCGGTGACCTGGAAGTAAAGGAGCGCGTTACTTCTGAGTTTCGCCACTCACGCATGTGCAGATGGCCAAAATGACGTCAGGCGCATGCGCGGAAGCAGCAAAACACGACCCATGCATGCGCAGATGTGTCTTACGTTCTGTTCAGGATGCGAACGGGCCTACAGAACGGATCCCATTCGCATCCCGAGGTACCACTGTACAGATACAAGAATTCATGTTCAATTGCTTTCTGCTTCTTTGAGACTCATACTTTACATTTCTCTACAAGCTTGCACGGAGAGCATAAAAAGCATCATCTAACCAAAGATCTGAGTTGCCAATATTTTATAGCCCATATTTTACATTGGCACCTTAGCAGCAATGGAACCTCACCAACTTGGGGAACGATCAAAGATACTCCTGCAGATGATATCAGTGACCAAGCAGGAATATAAGGGTTCAGGCGATCCCCAAGGTATCCTGGATTCAAGTTGTTCAGGGCTTCATAAATAAATACAAAAACCATGAACCTAGCTCAATAGCAGATAAGCACCCAGTGCAGCTGTTTTAACAATGACATCACATGTTCTTGTGATGTGAGCTCCATGATTGAGTGGGGATTTGAACCCTGATCTCCCAGGTCCTAGTACAACACTCTAACCACTACACCACACTGGCTTCCTACAGCACTTCTGCTATGGGGTAGCTATATAAATTAAGAAGGTAAATAAATATGGAGAAAGCAAAATGCCACTTAGAGAAGGATCCGAAATATTCCCCTTGAAGCTTGGAATCGGTTCTATTCTGGATTGTTTCATTTAATGTTTTAATGTGTTGTAAACTATTCTGAGACCCCCCCTTTTAAATATAAGGTGTTATAGAAACTCATGGGGGGGGGGGGCGAACAACACACCAAACTGCTGTAAACTGTAGGCACTGTCCTGCCATATGCCTCATTAGTTGTTCTTGTTTCATCTGTACTCTGCCTTGAAGCCTTGGGCCAGTCACCATCTCTTAGCATGACCTACCTCATGGGGTTGCTGTGAGGACAAAATGGGGAGAACCATGTACAGTGGTACCTCGGGTTACATACGCTTCAGGTTACAGACTCCGCTAACCCAGAAATAGTGCTTCAGGTTAAGAACTTTGCTTCAGGATGAGAACAGAAATTGTGCTCCAGCGGCGTGGTGGCTGCAGGAGGCCCCATTAGCTAAAGTGGTGCTTCAGGTTATTAACAGTTTCAGGTTAAGTGCAGACCTCCAGAACGAATTAAGTACTTAACCCGAGGTACCACCTGTACACCACTTTGAGATCTTTGAAAGATAAAGGTGGCACTGTATATAAATGTAATAAAAAAAGTGAGTTCCTGTCAGGGGAAAAAGGGGGGTATAAATATATATATACAGTAGTAATCAGTGCTTTTTTCTGGGGGTACGCATACCCCTAAACATTTTATGAATCTTTGTCCTTTTACTGTATTTATTTTCCCCGATTTGAACTATAAAATGTTGATTTTCTTGAGTCAAAATGAGAGTACCCCTAAACATTTTATTTAGGAGGGGGGGAATCACTTGTAATAATAATAATAATAGTAACAATAACCCCCTGAAATGCAGGTTAACAGCCAGAGGCACTGACTCGCTGAGCGTTTTGGGTTAAAACGCGCGTCAATAAAATACGATTTTTTCCCCTCACTTTTTATTATTATTTTTTAATTTGCTTTAATTAATTTTTTTTAAAATTAATTTTAATTTCCCTCACTAGCAGGTAAACGAAGCTCGCCTTTTATCGAAGCCGCGGAGCCCGCCCAGCGCTCGCCCGAGGGAAAAGGCCCCTCGAGCTCCATAGCGACTTAGCTCGCATTACTTACCAGGTTAAAATCACAGCAGCCACAAAACGCCGCAGCCGCCTATGGCATCCGGGCCGAGAGCAACGGCGTCCCGGAGGCAGCCAAGGATTTAAAATTCCCGGACGGCGCCAGCACTTCCGCCCTCCATCCAAACAAACGCGGCGTTCTGGCCGGAAAAGGCGGGCCTGGCCGAAAGGGCCCATGGGAGGAAGGTCAGGAGAACGCAAAAAGATGGGGAATGTCGGCCGTTGGTCCGCCATGATGGGTGTTCCGTGGGGGTGTGGTTTTTTTAAGAGAGAGTCGGTTTTTAGTTTATTTACTGATGTAGTTTTGGGCGTCACTGGAGTTTCTTGTAAAACAGAAACTTTCCTTAGCGAACCGAATTTAGTAACGGGGAGAAAACGCCTCCTGGCCAAAGTTAATGGCCGTGCAAGGTTGCTTCTTATTTCAGGGGGAGAAATTCAGTAAAATATGTTTGAAGCGCTTAATCCTACGTGGATCGCATTTCTAACTGATTGCTTACTAAACAAGCCTGGGTAAATTTTGCGGGATTTCTTCCTAAGTGTAGGAGCAGCAGAGACGCCCACAGCTGCTTTGATTAGTTTGTCAAGTGGCTGAATATTTATGAAGACTTATCCTTAGGATGTTTCTAAGCACTAAAATAACTGCAACTTGTGATCAAATCTAGTGTTGCATTTTCTTTTTTGGTCCGACCCTTCCCTCTAAGGAAGTGTGGTGACGAAAACTAGTTTTCAGCACTGCAAATTTCCCCCATCACCCCCTTGCCCTGTAATATGATGCAGTTGTCAAACTCAGAGGAACACGTTGTCAGTTTCTCTAATGCCTTTGGCTGTTGCTCTTACTCGTCCCTGCTCTGGTAAAACTGAATGCTTTCCATAAATCTCTCTCTCTCTCTCTCTCTCTCTCTCTCTCTGTGTGTGTGTGTGTGTGTGTGTAAAATGGACAAACAGCAGCTGAGCAGCCCTGAAAATGAACATTTTTTTTCCAAAGGGAGAAAATTGGGATTTGCATAATGTCGATTAACTGCTTAAAAGCACAGGTAGTTGGATTTAGCTTCCTTGGATCATCCAAAAATCTCACGAGGGAAATGTGCTTGTGGTCTTCCACAACAAACATGGAGAAAGCAAGGTAGTATTTTATACATCCTAGCCTAATGGAAAAATAAGTTTTAGTGGCGTGGAATGCTTTTCTCTGAACGTTGCTGTGCTGATTTTATTCCTCGAAGGGAGTATTTTACCAGCATTTTTTACATACAGACCAGCTGGTGGCAGTAGACTACTGTTCATTTTCTCAAACCAAACTTCCCCAGATGTACGCATTGTGCTCCATCTGCACAACCATGATTAACAAATTTGCAGCACTTTAATTTTAACTGCCTTTATAAACAGTTTCGTTGTGCACATTCCAAATACCTTTGGCAGGAAATCTATCAGTTCTCAAGTATCTTAATAGCATATTTTACTGTGCTGTGAACTTTCATAGACAGGAGACAAACAAACAAAAACCCGCTTAGCCCTCTGCCGTTCCATGGAATCAAAACTTTCTTCTCCAGTCCAACATCTATGTTGCAGGGAAATGTAATCTCTTCCAGCATTGCAATGTCCAAGCCACTGATACAAGGGTCGTTTCCACCCCATCATGTATTTTACAACTTGGTGTAATACGTGTCAATGACATCAGTGGTTGCAAGAGTTGTTCTCTGTCTTGTACCATATATAAACTATGTATTATTACTGGACTTCTTCAGAAACTGAACACTTCTGGAGTGATGTAGCACAATCAGAGAGCTTTACCAAAATAAATAAATAAATAAATAAAGTCACTGATTAAAAAATTAATACAAATCTGTAGTTTTATGTACTTGGCTGTGATAATTGCAGAGGCATCAAACAATGCAGCTTGCAACTGGCTTTGCTTTTTCTTCTTCATCGCAACCTAAAGGGATACTTTCCCCCTTTAAAAGATGTGATAAAAGGCATAATCCAAGCAGTAGCATGGTACAACTTTGGCTGGTCTGTTGTATCCTTCCCCTCATAACTCAATTAATTTGCTAATTCCAGGGATATTTAATTACAGTTAGATCTGTTCAGTTACTGGGCAATATTTGAATCTCCTAGAATTCTCGTACATGCGCAAGTGTATTTCTGACCATTGGACTTCATGCCTGTCCAAACTCTCTTTTATTGTTTTGATATTCTAATTGTGTGAGCTCTCCTGGAACCAGTACCACTGAAGGGTGGTATATAAATATTTCAAATAAAGTAAGCGTGGATGCTTACCTAAAGCCCTCCTGCCTGCGATTCTATGCTTGATTACCTGACACGCATAAGAGGTAACAGCCCGAGATGTGTATGAACAAAGGCTTTATATTGATTTTTTTTGAGGGCTGTATTAAATCATACTTAGTGAAATGCAACCGTTGCTTTGCAGTAAAATACATTACAGGATAAAGAACCTTTCTGTGATCTAAATCAGGCTCAGCTCTTTAATGGTATATAGTTAAAGGAGTATACTAATGCATTTTATTGCCTGACCCCATTTCTTTTACAGCAGGTGAGCCCAGCATACTTTAAGGCCATTGTTGTATTCATGTTCTCTTTTACAATACCATTAATGAATTATCATTCTCTAATTTGAAGTTTTAATTATAGCCTGGGGTGCTGCTCCCTTATTTCTGGTTAGTGAGAGGGAGCTGTCTTCTTGGCTCAATCACTTGCTCTCTGTAGAGAATATAAATTTTAAAACGTATGATTGGAAGGATTTGCAGCCTTGTTTTAACTGTGATTGCCTGTCTCTGGTCCTTTTTCGTTAGCACGGTATTTGCACTTCTCAAATCACTCTCTTTACATCAATAGTCACTTAATAAGTCACCCGAAATACTTGTTGGGAAATGATTTTATGGTGTAGGCACTGACTATATTCAGTTCAAACTACTGGAGTAGCTGTGGGGAAGGGAGGTGAATTTCATATTGGGGGTCATTTGGAAACAGGTGGAACAGAAAACTTCCAATATCATGATGCTTTTATAGAAATGTGACTGCACTTGGAGTGCTGTGTCCAGTTCTGGCTGCCTGGCTTGAAAAAAAGAGATTGTCAAGCTTGAAAAGGGGCAGTTAAAATGATTAAGGGGCTGGAGAAGCTCCCCTGTAAGGAAACATTACAGTGTTTTGGGCTTTTTAGTTTAGGAGAAAGGGAAATATATTGTGACATGATAGATGTGAATGAATTGGATTGTGCTTGGTATGAAGGAAGTGGATAAGGAGAAGTTTCTTTCTCCATACTGTACTAGGACCTAGGATCATCTGCTGAACCTGAATGCTGGGAAAATCATCCCATAGTGCATACAGGGCCAGCCCACTCATGAGGCAAGGTGAGACGACCTCCTCAGGTGGCAGAAACCACAGGGGTAACCAATTCAGATGTAGATCTTTATTTCCCCCGTGTTACTGATGTAGATCTTCACTTACTCTTCCTTGTCGGTCAGGGGGGATGGGAGCCATTTTGGGGTTCACCTCAGGTGTGCCACCTCAGGTGTCTTGGGCTGGCCCTGAGTAAACTGTAGAATTAAACTCTTAAACTGTATAATGGGTTAAACTGTAGAATTCACTGTCACAAGATGGAGTGGTGTTTGCCAAGTTGGATGGTTTAAAAGGGGAGTAAATATATGTGGAGGCTAAGGCTATCCATAGGGACTGTTCTTAATTTTGTTATTTTTATAGTTTATGCTCATCTTGTGTGAGCCACTTTGGGAAGGCGATGCCTTAAAAGGCACCATAAAATTATTTCTACAGATGAAAATGAATAAAATATAGAATTTTCCATCAATGCCGAAATGTGGAAGAATGGACGTTCCTTTTCAACGTACTGCAAAGGAGATGGAAGAGCAGAAATCCATTTAAGGTCACAGGGAGAGAGGGACCAGGGGAAGTTAGTGTCTTTCACCTGGGCCATACCAAAGGGGCCAGGATGAACTAAGAGCCTAGAAGCCTAAACCAACAAACATTAAACTCCACTGGTCTATTCCTCCCCACTTAAAACAAGCACCCTGTGTGTGGCTTGGTGATCAACACTTACTCTGAACTCTTTCTTAGCTTCTGTGACAGTAGTGTTGATTCAGTCACAGGCAAACAAGGGCGAAAGTTGGCACCAGCAGGATCCACCATCAGGAGTGACCCAAAGATGCTTCTGCCAACAGTCTAATCCCAGACCGTAAAAGAGCAACATTAGAATGTTGCAGCCTCCATCACAAAGAGTTGGTTCAATTTGAAACTGTATTGTCATGATGACCATGTCAACACTCAACAGCGTTGCAATTCCGAGAAGCAACTTTCCTTTTCATTGTTAAAAATAAGAAACCAAGCAGATGCAACATAGGAACAAATTTCTCTCCAGGCTTGTAGGGTCGTAATGGACCTTCCAGTAAATAATGAAAGGTTCATTAATTACTGTAATAAAGTCAGATCCATATCTTCTATAGATGGCATCAGCATGTCCATTTCTGCCGGTTTCAGAGATTTCAGTAGCTACACTCAGATCATTGGCAAAGTTGGGTTTCCCCAATAGCAAGTCCCAAAGCAGGTATTAATTAGCTGACAAATGGGATTTCAAAATATTGGGACTATTTTCTTCAATTGCATTGAACAGTATCAATGAGGAATTGAGAAGTAGACAAATAATTTTGCACCTGTCAACTTGCCTGCCACATATGAACCAGTTCTGCATAGGATGTCCTGTCTTTCCAACATTTAAATCATTATGTAGAAAGCATCCTATGCTGGCATCCTTGCTGGGGCCAAGGGGCTGCTGATTCGAAAGCTGACTGAACATGGCATTCAGTCACTTTCAGGTGGATACCTGTTGTCTCAGAGCTGGCCCAAGACATTTTGCTACTTGAGACAAAGGACAAAATGGCACCCTTCCATGACGTACAGAACTGAACTTGATTGGTAGCTGGCTTTAACTTCCACACTGATCATTGGACAGGACCCTCCATTGTAACTAAGGGCAGACTGTGTGGAGCACACAGATTGGTCCTCCAACATCTTGCCACCACTCCACCTTGCTCCCCCACCCACCACCTGAAGTGGCTGCCTCACTCTGTCTAATGGTAGAGCCACCGAGTTTTCTATCCTCAATTAGCATGTTAGATGATTAATCCTGAGAGGCTGAATTTTTCTCTCATCACTTTTCCATTCTGAAATCTTCACGGGCACATTATCTGTAGACATCCAGATGAAAGGGATCAGAATTATCATTGGTTGCCAATGTTTTGGAAGAGAGGTTCAAATCTAACATAATGGATACTGATCTCTGCGGGGTCTTGCTATTTAGCAACCCTCGTCAGCAACAAAATGCATTTTATTTTGAAGATGCATAAGAACCTAGCCAATTATCATCATCAATGTCTTTCTTTAGAAAGCAGGGGGCAGGAAGATGTGTCTGGTGGGAGTGGTGGTGGCGAGAGACGTCTGATTGCACTATCAGTGCAGATTGCAACGGGCATATTTATTCTCACTCCTGAAGGGAAAACGTTCGGTGGTTCGCTTTCACCTTTTATACAGCTTTCATTAGCCATGATTCACGATAAAGTCAATGCAACAGGCAGGTGTGCTTTTGTTTAATGCAGGATACCATGACCCACACTGCATTTGGGTAACCGTTAACCATAACTACCCACTTGTTGGTGGGTGCAGATGAGAACCTCTTCAGCCTGTTCCAAACCAATTGCATGGGCTGTGACAAGCTTTTGGACCCATTTCAAAATACTAGGTTTTACCTTTTGAAGCCTTTCATCCCGTAGAGCAAGCATACCATAGAACTCCCCCTTTACTAGTATGCTCACCTCACCCGCTCCAAGACCCTTCCATTCGGGAAGTATGGCTGTCACCTGTATTGCACAAAGGAAGGCTTTCTGTGTGGTTCAGCTGTTTCCATAGGACTAGATAGCTCAGCTGATAATAATAATAATAATAATAATAATAATAATAATAATAATAATAATTTTGTTTATACCCCGCCCTCCCCGGCCAGAGCTGGGCTCAGGGCGGCTAACACCAATAAAATCACAGTAAAAACATAATAGGGGGGAAAGAGGGGGGGTAAACCCAATTTAAAATACAGGTTAAAATGCAATTTAAAATGCAGCCTCATTTTAAAGCAGCAGATAAATCAAGACCATAAGGGGAGGGAAACATAAGGGTCAGACCAAGTCCAAACCAAAGGCCAGGTGGAACAGCTCTGTCTTGCAGGCCCTGTGGAATGATGTCAAGTCCAATAAGGGCCCTAGTCTCTTGTGACAGAGCGTTCCACCACGTCGGGGCCAGTGCTGAAAAGGCCCTGGCCCTGTTTGAAACCAATCTAACCTCCTTGAGGCACGGGATGTCCAAAGTGTTGTTATACCTTAAGGTCCTCCGCGGGGCATACCAGGAGAGGCGGTCCCGTAGGTAGAGCATGAGACTCAAAGAGTCATGAATTCGAGGACCACGTTGGGCAAAAGATTCCTGCGTTGCAGGGGAATTGGACTAGATGACCCTCGTGGTCCCTTCCAGCTATACAGTTCTAAGATTCTAATATTCTTAGCTTCCTCCTAGCTTTAGCTTTCAGGTTTTTATACAAAGCTCTGTTGTTTAGAAAGGACTTTGGCTAGAAAAAGGAATGCATTGTTGCTTTGGTAAGGGAGCCACGTTTCTGCTTTGAAGAACTGTCAAAGGATAGTCCTCTGTTTTGAAATAGTCCTCTCTTTGAAGGACTTCTGAGTCCAGACCTGGACTCAAAAGCATCATAAAAAAGGGAGAACAAAGGCATTTTAAGTTGCTCTTCTACAGTAGCACATGGGCAGCAAACTGAGCAGGTATAGATGTCTTTCCCCTTATGGGAAGAAGGGTTGCATTTCTGTTTAAGCTATAGGGATTATTTCCAGATTTGCATCTATACATATGACCTAGCCAATTTAATGCAAAAAATGTGTGGGTTTTTCCTTTTTATTTAAACTAGACAACATTTAAACTTGCAATATTAAGAAAGTTTGAGACATGGGAACCATAAGGACCGGTGGACCTACAAGATCATAGTCTTGCATGATATTTTTTTAATAGCACAAAGTAAAGAATGCAATAATGCAACTGTTTTTGGGCTGCCACCAAATTTCTCCTCAAGGTAAATATGAGGAAGTGTTGAAGGTTCTGCTCATGCAAAAATCCATAGGAATTTTACAGTTAAATCAAAAGGACTGCTGATGAAAATTAGTGTAATTTCTCCAGGAGTGCTGCTACTAAAGTGAAATCCAAGGCCAAAATATAGAGAATTGGGAGGATGAAACAAACCAGTTGTAGGATGCTCAAATGAAGGTTGATATAATCACTGATGTTTCTCAAAGTGGGGTAGAGGGTGACATAACTCTAACTCATTTCAAATAACCAATGGGTGGAAATATTTGTTTTCCCAGGTATGATTTCTTCTATTTTATACCAAAGTGGTTCATTTCTTAGTCCATAATCTGTGATGTAATCTACCTTTCCACTTATAGTTTTAAGGCAGACCAACCAATATAATAATAATAATAATAATAATAATAATAATAATAATAATTTATTATTTATACCCCGCCCATCTGGCTGGGCTTCCCCAGCCACTCTGGGCGGCTTCCAAAATAATATTAAAATACTGTAATACATCAATCATTAAAAGCTTCCCTAAACAGGGCTGCCTTCAGATGTCTACTAAAAGTCTAGTAGTTGTTGTTCTCTTTGACATCTGGTGGGAGGGCGTTCCACAGGGAGGGCACCACTACCGAGAAGGCCCTCTGCCTGGTTCCCTGTAACTTGGCTTCTCGCAGTGAGGGAACCGCCAGAAGGCTCTCGGTGCTGGACCTCAGTGTCTGGGTAGAACGATGGGGTTGGAGACGCTCCTTCAGATATACTGGACTGAGGCCGTTTAGGACCTCAGCACCAACACTTTGAATTGTGCTCGGAAACGTACTGGGAGCCAACGTAGGTCTTTCAAGACCGGTGTTATATGGTCTCGGCGGCCGCTCCCAGTCACCAGTCTGGCTGCCGTGTTCTGGATTAGTTGTAGTTTCCAACCCCTATAAGATAAACAGCAGGTAGTTCCCTTGCACCATTATTTCCTGCATCTCCATCCCTCTGCATTGTTTTTGCCTTGAAAAATGACTCTGGTGCACACAGGCCTGGCCTACAGGGAATCTCTTGGTTGTATTACATTACCGAACACTGACTGGTGTGAGTCGCAATCCATCAATGATCAAAGAAAGCAAAGGCAAATCAAAGGAATTTCTTGGCAGAGGGTGTTTCAACAAGCGTGCTTGCTCCAGAGTCAAAAGAAGATGTCTTAAGATAGTTCCTTAAGAAGTCTTGCCACCTTTCCTGCCTTAATTTTCCCACATGCTTTTCACACCCATGTGTACAAAGCATGTTAATCAAAAGGCAACGCCATGGCACGGTAACAGAGAAATTCTATGGTTTTCATTTGTATAGTTCCTTTCTTTAAGATGAAGGGGACTGCAGTTGCACAAATATGAATGTTTAACTGCTTCTAAAATGTTGAGTCAATCCCACAGTAGCCTACCCCTCTATATCCCTGTCTGGCAACTGTGCTCCTCAGGTGGGGCACCATATGCCGTAGAGGTGTGCTCAGTCTGTACTAGAAACTGGGCTTTTAGTGTTGCAGCTCCAGCTCTCTGGAATCGATTACCAGCCGAAATCACAGGCACTCAGTGTGAGGAAGTTTAGGCTCCTACAGAACCCCCCCTTTTTTTTTGGTAACACAATTCCCAGGCACTGCAACAGAGTTTACCCTTGACAGGATAGCTCAGCTGGTTAGAGCTTGGTGCTGGTAATGCCATGGTTGCAGGTTCTATCCCCGTAAGGGACACCTGCATATTTCTGCATTGCAAGGGGGGGGTTTGGACTAGATGATCCTCAAGGTCCCTTCCAACTCTACAATTCTATGATTCTATGATCTCTGGAAGATCAGTTTTGTATCTGATGAAATTGTAAAGGGAAAGGGACCCCTGACTATTAGGTCCAGTCGTGGCCGACTCTGGGGTTGCGGCGCTCATCTTGTTTTTTTGGCCGAGGGAGCCGGCGTACAGCTTCCGGGTCATGGGGCCAGCATGACTAAGCCGCTTCTGGTGAACCAGAGCAGCGCACAGAAACACCGTTTACCTTCCCGCCAGAGCGGTACCTATTTATGTACTTGCACTTTGACGTGCTTTCAAACTGCTAGGTTGGCAGGAGCTGGGACCGAGCAACGGGAGCTCACCCCGTCGCAGGGATTTGAACCGCCGACCTTCTGAATAGCAAGTCCTAGGCTCTGTGGTTTAACCCACAGAGGTCAAATTTACATGTTTGCTTTTCCCCTCTGACCATGACCCCAATTGGCTTGTACCCCTACTCTGAAGGTTGCCCAGAAAGGAGTATGGCCCACAGACTAATTCCCACCTCCCACCCTGAGAACAGAGGGCTGTCCTTTGACATCACTTCAAACAGAGGACTGTTCTCTGTAAAGTAGAACACGTGGCCACCTTAATGACCTTTGGCCAGTATTTTGCAATCTAAACATTTTTCTGATTCATCTGTTAACTGTAACTGCATGTTAATTGGACCTGTCCTTTTTCTTCTATACAATGGAACCCTGCTGACGAGTAGCAACAACAACTTAACGACACAAATTCAATCCCTTGCCTGCCCTGTTAAATACAGTGGTACCTCGGGTTACATACACTTCAGGTTACATACGCTTCAGGTTACAGACTCCACTAACCCAGAAATATTACCTCGAGTTAAGAACTTTGCTGCAGGATGAGAACAGAAATCATGCTCCGGCAGCACGGCGGCAGCAGGAGGCCCCATTAGCTAAAGCGGTGCTTCAGGTTAAGAACAGTTTCAGGTTAAGAATGGACCTCCAGAACGAATTAAGTACTTAACCTGAGGTACCACTGTAATTTCAGGTAACCAGTCAAATAACTGCCTCTGCCTGAGACCACGGAGAGCCAATACCAGTCAGATCAATGGGCTGCCACAGCACGAGGCAAGCTTATCCATTCAGTAAACAGTTAATTTTTATTTTTTAAAAAAATTTAATCTGAGCAGTTACCCTGGGAGGTTTCTCTGTGAAATGCGAGTTCTGTTATCTTTGTGGGATTGCCTCAGAGCCTTCACACGGCTCAGCTTTGTTCTAGGAATTACACGATCAGCACGATAGCATTACACTCAAAAGAAAATAATGCCCCACCTTTAAAAAATAAAATAATCCTTAATTAAAAACACGATGGATTTCTAAAGTATGCTTCCTGTTAGGAACAGCACGCTGGAAAATAGCAGGGTTCAGATGGTGCTTTATTTCCACAGACACACAGACACCGCCAAACTCTATTTTGTTCATGGAGAGTACAGCCTAAAATACATTTTGGTTATGCATCTAGAGGGAACTTTCTTTTTTTAAATAATAATAATAATTTTTATTAAGTTTTCCATTTTAACCATCCGATCAAATCACATTAAATATTCCAAATTATACAAATACATATCATAAAGTCCAAATATTTTGCCGAATTATAAATTTTTGTTGGGGCTTCCCATGCTTCAAGTTCAGTGGGGTCCAATCATCTTATGTTTCTACTGCCTTGAGTTTCCAAAAGTTCCTTCTTTGAGTCCTCCTGTTGTTATCCTTCTTTCTTTCACATCCTCTGAGTTATTTCCACAGGTGAGTTGGAGTGAACAATAATATACTTCTGTGTGAAATTTGTGTGACTCTCCTTTTTTTTTTGTGGTTGGTAAGAATATTATTAGCAGTATGTCCTCACACGCTGGTGTTTATGCTGAATCAATCCAAAAGTCCTTCTCTTGTGGCAGACGCCATCTTCTCTCAGTTCCGATGAAATAAAATCTAAGCGTTTGCTCATTAATTTTCACAGACAGGTTGCATCAAACATTAGTCTTTCCAGGGGAGGTTTGCCAAGCATCTAGAGGGAACTTTCACAGAATTGTCCTGTGAAGCTGTTCCCCTCTAGGGAAACTTTCCGCAACTGAGGTATCAGAATGCTTCTTCACACAAGGCAGACAACTTGCTCCTTTTGATGACGAGAGCCACCCTAATAATTTTTTTTAAAAAATGAGACTGTGTATGAAAATGTGTTCCATAAAACCAGGTTGTCCAATTAATCAGACCTAGGCTGCTCTTTGAACCAGAGCAATCTTGCTAGCTCCATGCTGGTAGAATCTTGTAGAAAGACAAGTTGTGCAGTTGGAATCCATATCTACATGCAAATGCAATAGATTTGGCGACACCATGAGGTGAGAACTAGCTGCAGGTATTGCTATGATGCAATGAAGGGCTGAAGACAGAAAGTGGGGGCACATTTATACCATACAGCTAAAGCATTCTTATACCACTTTAACAGTCTTTCCCCAAGACTGTAGTCAGTTGTTGTTGTTGTTCAGTTGTTTAGTTGTGTCCGACTCTTTGTGACCCCATGGACCAGAGCACGCCAGGCACTCCTGTCTTCCACTGCCTCCCACAGTTTGGTCAAACTCATGTTCGTAGCTTCGAGAACACTGTCCAACCATCTCGTCCTCTGTCGTCCCCTTCTCCTTGTGCCCTCCATCTTTCCCAACATCAGGGTCTTTTCCAGGGAGTCTTCTCTTCTCAAAAGTCTTGGAGTCTCAGCTTCAGGATCTGTCCTTCCAGTGAGCACTCAGGGCTGATTTCCTTCAGAATGGATAGGTTTGATCTTCTTGCAGTTCATGGGACTGTCAAGAGTCTCCTCCAGCACCATAATTCAAAAGCATCAATTCTTTTGCGATCAGCCTTCTTTATGGTCCAGCTCTCACTTCCATACATCACTACTGGGAAAACCATAGCTTTAACTATACGGACCTTTGTTGGCAAGGTGATGTGGGAAATCTGAATTTCTCAGAGGTTACTTACAGCCTGTTGTGCCACGTAGTAAGACTTTGTAGAGTGGAACAAGAGAAAGAAGGCTGCGCAGATTTCTTTTTCATGATGGTGGCAGCAGCAGACATAAAAGGGAGAGAGATGTTTCTGGGTGGTGGCAGCAGAGGCAGGGGACATCATCAGGACAGGGTGGTTTTAGCCACCCGCTTAACCTGCCACCTGGGACACATGCCCCCACTTGCTCCTCACCCTCTTAATCTGGACCTGCCTCCCCCCCCAAAAAAACTTCTACAGTTCACCCTGGTCTTGTTTCAGTCTTTCATTTGTCAATACCCGCTTCTTCTCTTTGTGCTGTAAGACTTTAATGAGGAAAGGAAGAGTCTCTAATAAAGGGAAATTAGTTTCCTAATCTCTGGCTAGTGCCCATGGATAATTGTTTTTAAAATTATAGTGCAAAGCGCGTTCCCACCCTTCATTGCCCTCTTTATTATCAGCTGCAGGGAGAGAGAGGGAGAAAGGAGGGAGTGCTAAAGCTTTTTAAATGGTTCATTAATTTCCCATAATCTGTTGTTGTTTTTTTTATTTGCGGGCCCATAATACATTGGCAAAATTGTCATTTTGAGTGATTTTCAGGGAAGCGTTGTATCTGCTTTGCACTTCCACTCATAATATTTTGCTCTTCCGCTGAATAAATAAGGGGGCAATCCTAAATATGGGAAGACAGTGTAAATTACACCACCTTAAGAGTAATCTGGTGTAAATTATGCCAGATCCAAACTGTGTGCAGGAGCCCCTGGGAAGCTGACCTAGCCTCAGCTCTGCAGAGAGATAAGAAATCAAGAAAAAACAGCTCAGCCAGCATTTCCGTAGAAATGAGGTCCACCTGTTCACATGCAGGGGAAAGTTCGTAAAGGCCCTTATTGGGTATCTACAAACTGAGAAGTTGCTCTGAGAGAGCTTATGGGAAGTGCCTCAAAGTCTCCAACACATGAATGCAAATAAACAGGGTGCAGAGTGAAAAGAACGTCGGCTCTTATGAAGCGAGACACCATGATAACAACAGTAACCTTTATTGAACTAACAGAACTGAACAACAGGGACAAAGCAACTGCTTATATACATTTCTGAAGGCCTGGGCCACGCCCACTCTCAACGTGATTGGTTGTCTAAACTCCCAAGCTGCGAATCATAATTCAGAGTTTAAGGGCCAATGACAGTAGCCCAAATCCTGAAGTGTTCTGTGATTGGATTTCATGTATTGATTTAGAACACAAGGGCTCAGAATCCTTACTTCAGGCTCATGCTCAGGCAAACACAGACGATTGAATACTTAACACAGAGCGCTTGTGGTGTCTGTTGCAATGCTCACTGCAGCAGCTAACCGGCCCATGCCACAAGCATCCACACCACACATTCTCTGGCATTTGCACAGCCTCACACAACAATAGCGTGACACAGAAAGTAGGTAAACATATGCATGTGGAGCACACTAGCACGCCCATGTCACACAACTTGCAAGCTCCCCAAACACAGGCTGGCTGGGCACAACTGAGCCAAGATGGGGGATCTATGCTGGCATGTCTCCTGCTATGCTCAGGTGGGGCCCGAGTTCCACCCAACCTTGGGGGGATAATGTGTGTGCAATGTCATGCACACTGTGAATCACACTGTAAGGCCTGCCACAGCTGTGGAGAGCCCAGTGAGGCCTGCTGCTGCAAGGGCCCAGCCCCTCAAGGTGAGGGTGGGGGCTCAGTCCCATCCCAATAGAGTTTTGGTGGGGCTGAAGACACCTCAGTCTTGTACAGTTGGTGCCTATGGGTGGGATTCAATTAAGGTAAAGGGACCCCTGACCATTAGGTCCAGTCGTGACCGACTCTGGGGTTGCGGCGCTCATCTCGCTTTATTGGCCGAGGGAGCCGGCGTGCAGCTTCCGGGTCATGTGGCCAGCATGACTAAGCCGCTTCTGGCGAACCAGA